AGCAAAAAGTCGCTGTTATACCGAGCCACTTACTAAAATGAAGCTGATATAGAAGTGTGTGGGAATCTTAGATATGTATAAACTTTTCTACTGTTGCGAATTCTGCTGTAATCTGTGGAACTACACAGACAAACAATATTAATTTCATTTCTTATTTGTTAATTGTCAGATTACACAGTAAACAGACATGATCTCGACATTCATGATATTTAATATTCATATTAAAATAGAGACTAGTTTTTAAAATAACAATGTTTTTGTCGACAATAGTAGTTAAATATTTAAAAACAATATTAGATTTTGCGGTACACACACTTAAGTCAAAGAAAAGTTTTGTAAGAAATCAACATTTCTATATTTTTTATTTTAAACACGTTCTCAACCATTTTTTTTCACATCAGATGCCATCTTAGCACCATCTAGGAATCCTGATAAGCCTCTGAAAATACAAGTTATATAGATGTCCCCTCCCTGTCAAAGAAAAGTTTCGATCTTAGCGTTTAGTTTGAATGCTAAGTCATTGCTCTATAATGAGTTTCGGACTATTTTCAACAACGCGAAATCATTTCCTTGTGAGTTGGGCGTCATCAGCTAGCGCGAATGTTTTACGGTTCAAGGAAGTAACAGTTTGCCAAAAAATATTTTTAAAACTCACCTAATGTCCGTGTTTAAAAAACCTAGTCTAATTGAAAGCATTTTCATATATTTTATGGAATAACATCTAGCCTGAAGATGATTTTTATAGGGAGCGTTCCTGCCAAATATTTTTTAACGTATAATTATTGACCATGTATGTATTAAAAAAACTATCGAATAAATCCGTATGAAGCCACCGAATTAACCTTAAATATACAACCTAATATCCTTGTATATAAATACTGCCTGTAGTGAAATATATCGCGTTTTAAACTGTTACAGTGATTTATTTAAATCTTGTATATGTTAATGGCTATTATCAAAAATTAAGTTTCAAAGAAGGTAATTCTTTTTCAAAATTCAATAAAATAGTTAAGTCATAGTATCTATGTACATTTATCACAGCTTTATCTGTGGCATTTCGATTTACACAGAGTATATAGATGCAGGTATATTGCGAATAAGAAATATACAGATAATAAAGTGGATAAAGTGAACACTAATTGAAAATTATAATTCTCGATCCAGCTTGTAGAGATCGTCAACCGACCGTGACCGCCTTGTGGTTGCCATCAAACTCTCGAGTACCTTACGTAATCCAGCCTACAAGTACTACCTATATTTTAGTAATTTCTAGAGCATTATTTTTTTATTTAATTTAATAGAACTTTTTGTAAAACGCGTACCTACAAAGTTTCACGTAAATAAATATGTATTACTCACATACGTATTTAACATATACACATGTCCAATACTCAAATTGAGCGAAATTCATTATTATATATATAAAAAAATAAACATTTAAAATTACTTAAGTATCGTGATTTACACTATACCTGTGTCCTTATTTAAAGTTTATTTTACACAATTTGCTTATATCAGGCCCTAATTTAAAAGTGAAAAAGGCAAAACAGACTGATTCGTTTTAATTATGCACATAAGATGATGCAAATTGAAGTCAAAATAGCAGTATATCAAGATGACGTAAAACGCAAAAATTTTATGGCTAGAACTCCTTAAATGCCTGAATTTAAATGCTAAGTAAAAAGGAATCGTGAAGAGCCAAATATTCCGCTAGATATTTATATAAATATTCTTGCTAGCAATATTTATTTTGGGCATCCAAATTCGTTTTTTGCAAACCCCTATATCATTACAAACTTAAACTGTTGTCCTCTCGATGTCGCGACCCCTCCCGTCGTTCTTGCAAGTTAATCTTAAAAGATAGACATATTATAGCGTCGCGGACTTTTTTTTAGATCATTTAAAGAGGAATCATTCTTTCATATTGGGTATCTTGAACCGTTTTTGCAGCGAAGGCATCGGTAACCCATAATGATGAATAATTTTCCCAGTTTCCACATTTTCCGCTGTATCTTCGCTTGTATTAGTCTCAGGTCGATTTATAGCCTATAATAGCCTTCCTCGATAAATGTTCTAACCATTTCCTTTTTTTAATATTTTTTTGGGTGTACCATAGATGGCACTGTATAACAAATTGTATTTTGTATATTAATGTACAATTTAATTACGTTTAAAGTAATTTCCCTCCTGCCAATAACTAAACAGAACCCGAGTGGTTCTGTTTCGAGTAAGTTGCAACTCAATATCAAGTCAAGCAAATTCAATATCAGCAATAATTATCAATGCTAATTGTTGTTGTTTTATTATTATTATCGTAATTCCTCGCGGGAGCGGCGGAGCAGGGATATTCATGAAAACGCACGCACTTCAAACTTTCACATATATATATATTTATTCATTTTGCACTGTAGATATAATTTAGTATAATAAATGTGTACAAAAACTACGACGTGTTTCGTCCGGCGTGTCGAGAAGAGAAGTGCCGATTTCTTTTCATAAAACAATGTCCTGGGAATTCAAACAGACATAGAACAGAACAATTTAAAATCCAATTCAAAACCCAATTCAAGTGTTGCCAGCCAGCTTCAACATATATAACCTCCAACACACCCCCTCAACACTTGAACATATTTAACATTGCTTATTATTTAATTTAGCATACCAAAACTGAACTGCCCCACAATAAAATGATATCCCTAACTAAACCCACCAACAAACTACTTTCAAACTTAACTATTCCATTACATTTAACAACTACCATATCTTACTTCCAACTTACTACACACTACTACTCCTACTCGACTCTACATTTACTCCTACTCGAACCTCCACATATATAACTCCTACTCGAACCTCCACATAATATAACTCCTACTCGAACCTCTACATAATATAACTCCTACTCGAACCTCTACATAATATAACTCCTACTCAAACCTCCACATAATATAACTCCTACTCGAACCTCTACATAATATAACTCCTACTCTAACCTCTACATAATATAACTCCTACTCGACTCTACATAATAACTCCTACTCGACTCTCTACATATATAACTACGCAATACACAAACCTCTACTATACTATACCAGTAACCACATCATCTCAAAGACTACCATATCCTTCAGCAACTATCTCCTTTGACCAAACCTAAAATTATAAGACATTAAAACCCCATTTCAGTAATTTAAAAACTCTTCTCGACCGCTTAACATAATACTTATAATTATATTTACCTACCTTAAACTATCTTGTTCAAACCAAAAATTCCAACTAAAATATTTACTTGACACTTGACAACCCCTTTTCATATAAAAAGAACAACAATATAATAAACTACAAAGAGACAAAATGACTTTTAAAAAAACACCTGTAAATAAAATAAAAAAATTAAATTATATCTTCTCGGACACCAACTAAAACAATTATACTATTTCAAATCACCCCCTTAATTGTTTATAATAATTGATTAATAAACACCACCCCCTTAATTGTTAATTACCCTTGTCTCTTTTAGTTCTATATATTGTTGTACACAACATAAAATTCCCTACAAATCTTTACACTCTCCTATCTCTCTACGACACTAGTTTCTTTTGACAACTTTCAAATTTAATCCTGGGTAAACTTTTCGTTAAGATATCCGCAGCCTGTGACCCAGTTGGACAATATTTGACTTCAATCCTGTTTTCATCGATCTTTTCTTTTAAATAATAATATTTAACGTCGATATGCTTGCTCCTTTTATTCATAATTCCTTTCTTCATAAGCCAAATTGCAGATTGGTTATCTACTCGCATTTCAATGTCTAGATTTTCGTTTGTAATTTCTTTTACCAGATCTCTTATATATAACAGTTCCTTACAACATTCTGCAGCAGCAATGTACTCGGCCTCTGTGCTCGAAAGTGCCACCACTGATTGCTTTCTTGAGCTCCATGCGACTGGTCCACCATTCATCCAAATCACAAAACCAGAAGTACTTCGTCTCGTATCCGGATCACCAGCGAAATCAGAATCACAAAAGCCTCTTAATATTTTGTCACCTTTACTATAATGAATACCTTTTTCTTTTGAACCTTTAATAAACCTCAAGATATTTTTAACATTATTTAGATCATTTACATTTGGACTGTTTTGATGCCTCGAGCAATAGCCTACGTGAAAACTAATATCGGGTCTTGTTTTGTTTGATAGATAAAGCAGAGAACCTACCATTTCTCTATAATCCTCATGCATTTTCTTATCTACCTTGACTGATGGATGTTGCTCTACCAAAATACATGGGTAGCTGCTCTCTCTCACGTTGTTCATATTAAATTTTTCTAACAATTTCTCACAATATTCCCGTTGATGTAACTTAATACCATTTTCCTTCATCTCGATACCTATTCCTATATAATTAGACACCGTTTCGCAAACTCGAAGATCAAACTCTTTTTTTAAGCTTCAGTATAATATCCTCCAAATCATTTAAATCTTCACCAATTATTATTCCATCATCCACATAAATTCCAAGGTAAACTCTTTTGTTTTCTTTGGTATCTAGAGTAAAAATACATTTATTTAATTTCATAACAAATATTAAATTAACACTTTAAGGAAAACGCATATATTAGTTAAACTTATTTGAAAATCATTTTTAACTTCGGCCCGACGTTTCGGATGCTTTGCAGCAGCCGGGCTCGGGGGGAACCCCCCCCCCCCCGGGTTTAAAAAAAAAATCTTTTTTTAACAATTGTTTTATTTAAATGAAACCAATTTTCGTTAAAAAATCTGTAAAACGTATATTCCACATAAGAGGTGCCTGTTTCAAGCCATATAAACTTTTATTTAATTTACACACTTTGCCCTCACAATTGTTATAACCTTTTGGAACTTTCATGTATATTGTTTCTGTTAAATTTCCATGAAGAAAAGCTGTTTTAATATCAAATTGTTTTAATTTCAATCCTTTATCAGCTGCAATTGACAATAAAATTCTTAATGAAGTAGTATCTATAACAGACTATATGTTTCATCATAATCTATCTTGTATTTTTGTTGAAAACCTCTAGCAACAAGTCTCGCCTTATATCTTCCATCTCCCTTCACAGTAAAGATCCACTTACTTGTAACCAATCTTCTTCCTTCTGCCTCTTTCTCATCAACAAAAGACCATGTGTTATTCTCTTTTAAGGAGTTCATTTCTTCTTTTATAGCTTTCCACCAGTTCTCCTTTTCTTTTGAGTCAATTGCCTCCTCAAACGTCAGCAGAGAAAACTCTCCATCTTCCATTATAAAGTCTTTGTATCGATCTGGTGGTTTTCTATTTCGCTGCGGTCTTCCAAATTCTACATTTTCTAATATTTCTTCATTTACACTTTCAACATTTTCACTATCAAAAAATTCTTCTCTTTCATCCAAGTTTTCATTACTTAAAATCTCCACTGGACTGTTTGTTGTCATTCTATCATCATCGTCGTCAATAACATTTGATTCACTGTCATTTGACTTGTTTTCAAAATTTAATATTCTGCCTCTATCACAATTTCCTTTCCTTAAAATCACCTTCTCAAACCATTGCAACTTCACCTTCTCGAACTTCGTTTGCACTATCACTGATATTTCTAACAACATCTCCTTCTCGAACTTCTCTGACTTCTTCTTCCCGATTGTTTTTATTTGTGTTATTATTATTCTGATCCTCCCCGTCACCTTCCCAAAGCCCATTAATTACTTCATTATCTTCTAAGTATCCACCTAAAATTCCTTGTTCGCTCTCATTAATTCGCACATCTCGTGCTCGTATAATTTTATTTTCGTACCAAATTTTATACCCGTTTCTTACATAGCCAACTAGTATGCCCTTTTTACAACGATCATCTAATTTTTTAAGTTCAGAATTTATTTTAAAATAAGCAGTTGACCCAAATCTTCTAATATTTGAGACATCGGGTTTTATACCAAACCACAATTCCGAAGGAGTCTTATTTTTACCTTTTGTAGGACATCTATTTAATAAGAAACTTGCTGTTAGTAATGCTTCCCCCCAGAGGTATTTGGGTACCGCTCCATCCAACAATAAGGCTCTCGTTTTCTCCATGAGAGTACGGTTCAGTCGTTCTGCTTTACCATTAAGTTGCGGCGTATATGGAATAGTTAAGTTTGAAAGTAGTTTGTTGGTGGGTTTAGTTAGGGATATCATTTTATTGTGGGGCAGTTCAGTTTTGGTATGCTAAATTAAATAATAAGCAATGTTAAATATGTTCAAGTGTTGAGGGGGTGTGTTGGAGGTTATATATGTTGAAGCTGGCTGGCAACACTTGAATTGGATTTTGAATTGGATTTTCGTCCGGCGTGTCGAGAAGAGAAGTGACGATTTCTTTTCATAAAACAATGTCCTGGGAATTCAAACAGACATAGAACAGAACAATTTAAAATCCAATTCAAAACCCAATTCAAGTGTTGCCAGCCAGCTTCAACATATATAACCTCCAACACAAATATTTTTTTTTACGGAAATAAACTATTGCAAACGTTTTGTCAATTGTCAAACAAGTCTGTCATTTATGTATTCTGTCTAAAGTAAATCTTTATTTTTTAATAATATGTGATTGTTTGTGAAGATCCTATAATAATTGCAGTTTTAAATATATAATACAAACAGTTTTTTCTATTAATGAACTTCAATCCCCAACCAATAACTACCACTCAATTGAATTGATAGCATAAGATTTGTTTCTATGACCGCCGTGTATTGAAATTGTCATTTGTGTAGTTGTAGCATTTCTAGGCATTTTTATAAAAAATTAAATGAATAGTGAGAAAAGAAATGCACGTGGCCGAGGACGTGGTCGGGGAAGAGGCAGAGGCCGTGGTCGTGGCCGCGGGCGAGGCAAAAAAGTACCAAAGGTTATGTCTTCTGATGAAGAAGAATGTTCCATGGAGGAAACTGCACCAGAACAAGAGGACCCGCCCCCAGAAGAGAGCAAGGATAACGATCAAAATGAACCCGCCAAATGTACGTATTTCTCTTTAGAAAAGTGATACACTTTACTTAAAATTATTTTTTTGTTTTGTTTAAGAAAATATAAACAGAAGTTACCTCAGTCATATCTATATAATAATATATTTCATTCAGCCTTAAAGATCATATTTCTTTTTCAGTGGAAGTCCCATCAGATATATCCCAGCTTGAAGCACCAGTATTTACAACAATACAGCGTGGACCCCCTGAACCCATGCTACGTCTAGAGTGGAACCATCGTGCAAATCTCATTGGAGAGAAAGTTCTTAATCCTATGATTTACTGCTGCGATACATGTTCTAAACCTATACTCATATATGGACGAATGGTAATGGTTAAATTTGCTACATAACAATCAAAACTAAATCATTTTTCAAAATCAATTCAATAGTTTCTGACATTAGCATGTTCAACATTTTAAGTCTCAGTTCAACTTGTTAAGAAGGGAATTGGGATTTGGGCCTACTACATTTCTTGGCTTCTTTATATATTTTATTCATAAATATTTTTAGAAGCTATAATTTGTTATATAAATCTATTCCAGATTCCATGTAAGCATGTTTTTTGCTTATCCTGTGCTAGAGCTGACCATACTCACTGCCCGCGATGTAGGGAAAAGGTAAACAAGTGTTGCAATTCTATTAAAAATATTATTTAGTATACCTATAAGTGCAAGACATTGAGAAGCAAAACTTGTAGTTTGTGTGGTTTCCTATTGCTAATAACTTTCTTTATATAATATTTCTATATATTTTTTATACTTAAACAGGTTTTGAGGGTAGAACAAACTGGGTTGGGGACAGTATTCATGTGCACTCATTCTGGAACAAGATATGGTAACACAGGATGTAGGAGGACATACTTATCTCAGGTGAGACAAGGTCTTTGAAATAATAACGTGTCAAAAAATTTGTATACCCATACCTTATTATTTCTATTGAGGACAAAGGGGATAGAAGGTGTCAGTCCACATTATGTGCTAACCATTTCATCCATATCCCCTTTATGGAGAACTTGGATTATTCAACTCTCCCTGTGTCCCATTTAAATCTTCCAGTTTCCGAGACCCATTACAAAATTGTATAAAATCTATTGATGAAAATGTATTATTTTTATCATCAAAATTTTAATCAATAAATAAAATATATTCACAGAATCAAATGAAAAATATATTTGTTAATCTATTCTTCGTTTTATTTCCAGAGAGATCTGCAAGCCCACATAAATCACAGGCACATATCGAGTGGCGTCGAGAGTAAGCCGGAGCCAGAACAGCCACCAGTGACAATTGTAAAACCGGTCTCGGTGAGTAATGTTTACATTTTACATATCCATGAGACAATGTAGGCATTATATACCCATTTTATTTTCCCGCAAGCATTGCAGAGATGTTGTACAATATTTTTTTTTATTGCTTAAGATTTTAGAATATTCGAAAATAAAATTTAATTTTAATAGTAGTTCTGTTGTCCCCGATTATCTATCAATTTTTAATCCAGTATGGCTGGGTTTTGTTCTGGTCCTTTTGTCTCTCAAGTGCATGAAGTGCATGTGTCTCTAAAGAAACATGAAATGGCATGTTTAAGGTTCCAAGCAAAGCGGGTGATCCCAGGGCGCATGGCGCTACACACACTCACTCTGAACGTCCGAGGGCTTCTCGAGCTAATCTTATAGCGGTGCCTATTCATGACCACCCTGAGCATACATATTATCCATACTACCAGGTAAGCATCTCCAGAGCACAAAATAAAAATATCTGTCAAAGACTAAGCATTAAAGACTACATATATGTATTGGAAGTAAGCATCACTGTAACTAGTTAATAATATATTTTCCGTTACATACTGTCTGTAGTTTACGCAAGTACTACATATTTAGATAAACCATTTAAACGGTTTAAAACGTGATATATATTAGTTAAACTTATTTGAAATCACTTTTAACTACGGCCCGACGTTTCGGGTTTCAGTTTTCCCGTGACCGATACCTCCGATGATAATTTATATCGCGTTTTTAGCCTTAAAGTGTTTTATATTTTTATTTAAATATTTTGTGTGTGGCCTAAGACACTGTTAGGAAAGAACTTTCTGTATCTGTAAGTTAAGCTTAAAAACAATATCTAATGCTAGTGCAGAGTCTGACAACTTGAAGATAAATAAGATTCGTCAATAAGACTGACTCAGAAATCATCACTCACACTCCTTAATGTATCTTTATCAATTTAAGTCACTCGTTAATGTATGCTTTGTTCAATTAACTAACTTAAACAACATGTAAAATCTAGTTTTTAAATAGTATAATTTTAACCATAGAAATAATACACTTCAACGCCTACACTGGGAAACCCTGATCTAGACTAATGATAATCATATTCACAGCAGAGTCCTCAACCGGTCCCGCCGCCGACTGTCGCGGTATCCAACGTTCCGGTCCTAACGCATAATATGACGGTTCCACCGCCCTATTACCCTACGGCGTACACGGCACCTCCAGCTCCTTACGTTGGACCAGGTTAGTCTGAACTCGATCCAGTGAACCCTGGTAACAAAGAAAAACACATTTCCACTTCAAATCAATTTCTTACCTGAAAATATACATATCAAACGAGAGGAAGGAATATAGACTCATCCAGGGTGTTCAGCTATAGCCAATTGGTGAAGTGCAAAATTTTATTTTAGGTTTTGTTGGCATTATTGACAGCATATTCACATTGGTGGTTATTAAGTCAAAATGTATTTAACTTAAGTTCATTTATTCGTCATTAGTTGGCGTAATGATAGCAATGTACGGCTAATAATCAACGGGTTTGATCCGCACCAGGTCCAACATCTTTTTTAACAATTTATAATTTTACTTAAACATGTTGGACTTCGTCCGGAAACCTGGATATGAAATGGTAGGATTATATAAATTCCGTGTGGGTCACGAACCACCGTCCACAGATTAAAAGGCCGTTAATCACGTTCATCAGTAAAAAGAACAAAAGAAGAACAGATACACAATACTTACGAGAGAAAACTGATGGTACCTATGAACTTTTTTCTCGTCTGTCCTTTAGTATAAAAAAACCTTAACGAAATGTTTATATTAATGTTATAGGTACAACCATGACAACGAACGTGGCGCCATCTATGGGAACGCCAGTGCCTATAGCACCCAGTACTCTGGGAGAGGCCCCACGGTGGCCCGACACATATCAACCGCCCGCGCCACAGCAGTGGGGACAGAACCACCATTACTATAGATAACACAAGTATAACGTTTAATATATGTAATCTTAAGTTTCTAGGTCTTTTTATTTTAGATTTCAAGCGTCCTTTTTTATAACCTTTACTTGGACAGATTTTATTAAAGACAGGTGATATAGAAAAAAAAATAACATACAAATGTGTCTGTTCCATAATTCATTGTTTAAACGTGTTGCATTGCATTACGGCACGAGAGGTCCTGGGTTCAAGTCGGTTACTTTCTGGAAATAAAATTTATCAATGTAACGTACAATACGTGTTCGGTATAGGGGAAGGTTTTTTCATTGTATAGTGCTAACTATGCAGTTGGTTGTCATTACAACCATTTCATACATTTTTTATCTATATAAGACCGTTCCACAGTTCCTCAGTATAGATATACATATATTATCACCATAATGACTATATTTGTATGTAATTCGAGTACTCTAACATAAAACGACGACACGACATTTCCATCTCTTATCATTTCGTGACTGTTACATAACTCTTTTAAAATACCCTATACTGTGAGTTACTAAGGGAAAAACTATATAGAAATCAGTTATTTATTTATTAACACTACATAATAATATTTACAAACATACCTCTCACATTGTTACCAACTGACATTTAGTAATACAACAAATGCAAAGTTTAATACCTATAAAGAACTGTATCTTAGAGAATAATTCCAGTTACGAAAGTTATAATTACAAAAATATTAGACATTTGCAATGTAGGAAACAGATACATAATAAAATAAAAAAATATATAAAGGACAAAGAACAAAAGGTTTTCATTTAAAGAAAACTGATAATTTTCTAGGAAACCTTCATACACTATCAGTCAAATACCTGTATAGTTTCAAGCTATAACATTTCCATCCCATATTGGAACTCAACTAAAATAACCTTATAAATAATCTTGTTAGGGTAGAATTGAAATTACTAAGGTCACATCATAAAAGTAACTCTGGTTTATTTATATTAAAACTAGCCTAATGCAGGTCGTTTCTTACCTAGGCTAGGTAAACAGTAGGTACAGATTTGTTTTATCAAGTATAGATGTGTAACTGAACCACATGATAAAACCAATATAATAAAGAGTTGTGTTTTCCAACATAAGTTACTAACAAACAACAACAATCTTAATTATTAAAAATACGTTCCAATGCTTAATAAATGTTGTTATGTTGTCTTTTGAAATGCATGCAAATAAATTTGTCCTCTCTATAATCTGTTGAAGCTATATATATTGTTATATTTACAATGAATAATATCTACAAATTTTATCCGGCAGAATAACATATAATTAGACAATTAAAAAAATCTCTCTTGTTTTGATTGTCTATGATCATGACGTTTTAGTAGTGGGTGGGGCCTCTGCACCAATATCTATTAATGTAGCCTCGGCAGGTGCTGGACTTGCTTCTGGCTCGGCTGGGAATGATGGAATTACATGTGATGACTGCATTTTTCTTACAGAGTCTATATTTACTTTTGTTGATAAGTTCTTCTGCCTTGTTTGTTCAGATGTTTTGGATAATCTCTCACTTAAAGCTTTAAGTGCTATTTGCCTGTAATGTCATAAATTATAATAAAAAATCATCTTCAAAAAATAATAATAAAAGATTAATTGAGGCAACAAATAAATTATGTTTACAATCATTATTAACAAGATAATTTTAAAAGTATAAAATAAAACTTAACCTATTTTTGACATTAAACAAGAGATTTAACAAAATATGTCAAGCAGATAGCTAGGTATTACATAGCATTGAATAGTTTTATAATGGTAATTGGTATAAATATTAAAGCAATTGTTACTGTATCAAGTTGCACAATCTTACCGCCGCCTCTCCATATCCTGTGGCTCTACTCCAGGCATTGTTATGGTGACGCCTCTTGGACTCAAAGCTAAGTGCACTCTACGTTGACTTGGAGAACAAATGCCTACTCTGACACAGCATCGGTGTACCGGGCTTATAATACCTCGTACTACAGGCTGAAGTACTGTTGGGAAGAAACTGAAAAATATAAATTGGTAAGCAAATATGGTTAAATTATATACTTGTGTATTATATATATATATAATAATATTAGTCTTCTGACTAATATTATTATTATAGAGGATTGATGTAATTTTTTATCAATTATGTTAATATAAAAAGATTTTCCATTTCATTCCAGGTTCATTTATGGTTATGACATAAACATAATTTGTCAATTATTACCCCATGTAAAGATAACTATGATAATATAAAAGATAACTTACTTATCAAAACTAAAATTATCAGCCATATCACCCCTCGAGCCATTGCTGTGGCGCTGCCAAAACCTTAGATATATCCAAGAGAGCAATGTACCACTTCCCCACATACAGGGATAAGTTCCCTCCAAGGCGCCCACAGCCCAGAAAATAATAGCTAATATTAAAATCAGGAGTGGAAGAGATCGATTTGTTAGTTTACCTGTAAAGTAATAGAAACTTGCTGGTAAAGTCTTTATAAAATATGAAATAAAAAATGTTATACAATTATTCTTTTATAGAATTTTATTTCAAATTGGCCATACATTGCTCTGTTAAGAAAATCGGATTTCATACATACTAGTTATTATCAATTAAACAAGGCTGCATACATTAGCACCTAATTAGCAAGAAAGTGTATTATAAAAACAATCCCGAAGCGACGACTCACCTAGAGGCGTTTTTATCAGCAAATGATCAGGTATTATTTGCTTTACAGCTACGCTTACAGCCGCTAGGTATCCAGCAAGACCATGAACGTGTATATCGAAGAGATACGACGTTTCTTGAGTCCACGTAAATATCATCAAGTAATAGAATGTCGTTAAGAATGCAACACCAATATTCGTCAACATGAAAAACTTCATCATCTCTATTTGGCCCCATAGTGGCTCTATTAACTTCCCACATAAACCCACTGTTATTATATCTATAATCACCTCCCACAAGTGTATTTCAAGGAACCAAAATGTAAAAGTGGACCACAACTGAAACGATGGGGGTAATAAATACCCCGGAGTAACACTAAGTACGTTGATGACATCTTCAGAAAACGATAATATATAACCTATTACAACTACAACACAAATAAATTTAACGGATGGCGACGTATTTCCTAATAATGCAGAAAATTGTTGGCGTAAATACGGTATATTACGACTAAACGCTCTAAGCGTAGCCATTTTTATTAAGTCAAATTGACAGATCGTCCACCACGAAGTGCATTGTTAATTTGGTATACTCATTATAATTGACAGTGATTTGTCGATTTAGTTAAACCACAGTAACTACTAAATACTAACTAGTAAATAGCAACTTTTACGAAGCGAATACCTACATTAAAATTAAAATGTGATATATATTTTAAGATTAATAAATAATAAACGTAAAAACAAATAACCGTTTAAGTTAGTATGTTTTTTAACAAATTCGTCAGAACCGCATTTTTGGTACGTTACCCAGGTATTGTAATTTTAATTTAAAGAAATTGCAAAATCATATTGATATGGCATTGTTATTGTTTCATATTACACTTCTTCTATGTAGTTTCGAGTTGCAAACAGTTGGAGTTTTAATGAAATGGCTTGCTCTGGCAAACAATGCAGTGAACTCACAAGAAACATAAGCTACCTTAGTCAAGACAATGCAGTTGCTCTCGACCAAGACTTATTTAACGAATACAAATTTAGTGTCGATCAATTAATGGAGCTAGCTGGCTTAAGCGTAGCGACAGCAATTAACAAAGCTTTTCCAACTAGTTCGTAAGTAAACCTTTTTATTTATTTTTTTTATAACAATACCTTATTACAATGATATGTATTTCTTTCAGTTATAATACAGCATTAATTATATGTGGACCTGGAAACAATGGAGGCGATGGCTTAGTAGCAGCTCGTCATATGACATTATTTGGCTATTCTGTCTCCATATATTACCCAAAGCGCACACCTAAACCATTATATGAAAATTTGTTGTGGCAATGTGAAAATTTTGGTGTTAAAATTGTAGAGACTCTCCCTCCACCAAATGAATTAAAGAATCAGTATAAAATACTGGTGGATGCACTTTTTGGATTTAGTTTTAAGCCTCCTGTAAGAGATGCACTTAAGCCGGCCTTAGAAGCTCTCACTGAATCAGAACTTCCTGTGTGTAGGTATGGAATAAGTTCTTTATACACATAAGTAGCTAGTATAAATCCAGACCATTTTTATTTATATTGTTTTCATTCCAGTGTCGATATTCCAAGTGGATGGGATGTAGAAAAGGGTCCTGCCTCAAACAATTCATTGAAGCCAGCGTTACTGATTTCCTTAACTGCCCCAAAACTTTGTTCAAAACCAGAGTTTATTAAAAACGCTCGACATTTTCTTGGGGGCCGATTTGTTCCACCAGGTATATTAAAAAAATACAATTTAACATTGCCTCCATATCCTCAACAAGACCAAGTGGTTGAATTAAAATTGTAAGTTTTATATTTTATGGTGCTCTAAGAATGTAAATGTTATGTTATAGCAAATAAATGTTGATTTTATATTACTGTGTTTGTGCCTTTATTCATTATTCAGCCACACCTTTTATAAGCATTATGGTGTAGCTAAACACATTTTATAATGCATTGCATTGCAACAAATGCAAGATGTTTTGGGTTTAAATCCGATAAAATCATGTTTTGATTTTACAAGCGCCTGCCAGAGACTGATCTACCTAGTACATTGTAGAATGAGCAAACGGATTTTTTTCATTTTTTTAAAATTCTAGAACCGAGTCCCTAATAACTAATATTAATATTTTATATAAAAATTGTTTACTGGACTCCTAATATAAATTGGACTCTTTTTATTTAGAATCACAAAATACAATTGTGAAGTATGTATTACTTTTAATTATCTGTAACTTATGTCGCATTGTGTGTGTTGACATATGACAATTTTAAATCGGTTTTCGCGGTATTTTTTCCCGCTGTAACCGGCTTCTGTCATTTTGAAGAGTCAGCAACGTTAGTGCTAGAGTTAACAATTTGTTAATAATTAATATAAGTTTATTAGTCGACAGATTCCATCTCAATAAGAAAAGTTATACAATGTAAGTCTTAATTATATGAAATTACTACATTGTTTTCATTTTATAGAACGTTTTAGTGTGTTCTTACGGCTTTGCATCTAGAGATTTTGTCATTGACTGGCACGTTGACGTTGTCTCGAATTGTAGTTGTATTAAATGCAATTATAACTTTATGTTTGATAGAATTAACTACAATGTTTGAGGCACGTCTTCTTAAGAGCTCCATTTTGAAGAAAGTCCTAGAAGCCATCAAAGATCTACTAACACAAGCCACATTTGACTGTGATGACAATGGAATACAATTGCAGGTATTTTAAGATTAAAAACGTTTTTTATTTCCCAAACACTTTCGTCTAATTTGTATAATGTCTTATAATTACAGATTTACATTGTTCTAGTACGATTCTTTTAAACATGTTTATGAATTGCAGGCCATGGACAATTCTCATGTGGCATTGGTGTCATTATCATTGCGGGCTGATGGCTTTGATAAGTACAGATGTGACAGAAATATATCCATGGGTATGAATCTCGGAAGGTGAGATACAAAACTACATACAAAAGATTTTTCTATTAAACTTTCTTAACCATTGGACGTGGTTAAGAATTCTAAACTTTTATATCATTCATAAAGAAACAATTTCTACATATTTATTTATATTGTTATTTGTGTTAGTAATTACTACTTAGTTCAAATTATATATTATACCATACATTTTTATTAATTCCAATATTTATATACTTATTCTTTTCAGTATGTCAAAGATTCTCAAGTGCGCTGGGGATAAAGACACAGTAACAATAAAAGCCCAAGACAATGCAGACACGGTCACATTTGTGTTTGAGAGCCCAAATCAGGAGAAAGTTTCTGATTATGAAATGAAGCTGATGAACCTAGATTTAGAGCATTTAGGTAGGTTCAACAAGTGTAACTAAATAAAGTTAATGCAAAATTTCGCAGCTAGCTGAAGGTATGGTAAAAAAGGGGAATCGTTCTATACATGCATTTTGTCTATCTTGAACCATTTTTGCAGCGTACGCATCAGAAACCCACAGAGATGAATAATTGCCCCCCTTTTTTTCTACATTTCCCACTGTTTCTTTGCTTCAATTAGTCACAGCACAAAGTTTTATAGCCTTCCTCAATAAATGCTCTAACCAACACAAAAATATTTTTTCAGTGGTTCCTGAGATTGTATCCAAAAAAACATACTCTTTAGCTTTCTATATTAGTATAGTTTTAATAAAAAAAACTTAAGTTATTCATATCATAGTTACTTTATTTAGTGTTAAACAAATAGATTTTAGACATTAATAAAATTTGTTAGACAGTTACCTGTAACGGTCTTGCATTTCAGGTATCCCTGAGACTGAGTACAGCTGCACAATTCGTTTGCCAAGTGCTGAATTTGCTCGCATGTGTCGAGATCTCTCACAATTCGGAGAGTCCATTGTAATATCTTGTACCAAGGAAGGTGGGTTATTGTTTGCTGGCATTTTTGATATAAACATTTGCTTATGACTCAATTCATGTATTGTGATTAATTATTTTTTATGATTTTTCTCAATGTATTACTTTCTACAGGTGTAAAGTTCTCAGCGAGTGGTGACATTGGTTCAGCTAACATTAAACTGGCTCAAACAGCTTCCATAGACAAGGAAGACGAAGCTGTGATTATAGAAATGGATGAGCCTGTCACCCTCACCTTTGCCTGCCAGTATCTTAACTACTTCACTAAGGCTACATCTCTTAGCCCACAGGTAATTCAACTAAAATCTAATTTTTCCTTTTTCTGACTCGAACAAAAACAAGAATTAGGGCAGTCTGTTTTATTGTAAATCTAAATTAGCTGCTATATGAATTTATTATAATTCTTCCATAGCTTAGTGGTGCTCAGTGGTGCACAGAAGGTCCTGGGTTAGAGTTCTGTAGAATCAATATATTGTTCTGTTTGGGATATGCACTTAAGTCTGATCAACTACTGGATAATAAATCGAACAGAATTTTTTTGCACATTCATACAGCACTTAAGGTTAACTTTTTTAACTTAAATTTTTTTATCATTTAGTATTATCCAAATAATTTTTGTTGTTCAATATACTTAATCTTCTTAATATAATTGTAAATATAAATATTATCTGCTTATATTTAGCAATCAATTTCCTTCGCAAGATCTGTGTACGCCATTATATTATTTAATTAAATTTCGGTAGTTCGTTCCATAGCGATAAGGCCGCCCCTTGCACCATTTTTCCGCAATAGTTATATTAAGATTATTTTCTTTGTGTGTTGCATATTAGAATTAAATGGATTTTGATCACTCTTATCTCCGAAGTAAATATTTGTTTTATTTTGAATCGTTATTGCTTCAGGTCCAACTATCCATGTCGGCAGATGTACCTTTAGTAGTGGAGTACCGTATACCAGATATCGGCCACATTAGGTACTATTTGGCACCCAAGATCGAGGAAGACGACAACTAGCGAGCTGAATGAACTCTTTGTTTTTAATAACAGTCTATAAGTAATTGATCACATTGATCACCTCACACTTTCATATACATCGGAAAATGCATGTATTGTGTAAGTTGCTTTTGCAACAAGACAATATTCTGTAGTAATTTTATCGTTTTTGTGTCTCTTAGTTGAAATAATTATGTAAAAAATTGTATTAGGGACAAACAATTTTTTCGCTGATTAGACACCACATGTCTGTAATATTCCTAGAAGTGTATTTTTACTACCACAGTGCCTCCTAATTTGAAATTGTGATAAAAATAAAACTCTTCTTAAAATGTGTGTTTATTTACAACTATTACATATGCTAAGTACTAACAAGTACATCAACCATGTTATACATGAGTATTAAAATAAAATCAGTAATCACACAAAAGGAATGTTGAACATAAAATTATTCTAAATAAATTATTTGTATTTAATTAATGTTGCGTTTATAAGCGAGAACAGCTTTGGGTTCAACGCGTTAAGAATGTATGTATTTTAACATGTTGTGGACTAAATTCGAAGGCGGGGCTCGAATCAGCGACTAAGCTCTGTAGTTAATTACCAATTATCTAATAGCAAGGGATTTTTAATTTATATGTATTAAGTTTCAATAAAATTAATTTCGTTATATTCTCGCTTATAAACGATTTAACACAACTCTAGTTACTAAAGACTAGCTCGACACATTAATGAGATCTTTAAGACTAGTTATAAAAAATACTTTACTCTTAAAATAAAAAACAGTAATCGGAGGAAGGGCAGGATAGTACCGCAATTCTGCTACCCAGAAAATTCTGACGCTCGTGAAACAAATGAGTTCTTCGATACTTGGTTTTGCAATTCAGTGCGCACCATAGGAAAGAAAGAGAATTTGCCAAATTTTTGATCTTCGTAACAAAAGGTAAATGGTTTAAAAGATTACCTTTGTGCATGTGAATGTGTTTCAAATTAGAGCGTCAGTGGGTTAGCGATTATCGCGGATACTATTTCCATTTCTTAGCGGAGAAGAGGACGGCGCGCTGTTTCAGAAAGAGAGAGTAGCTCTGTTTCCTCAGCGTGGAAGTATCCTGCTTCTTGCTGGCCGCACGCCGGCCGGTCACCGCTATGGGGTACGCGGCGGACCGAGGCGGACGGCCGCGTCCTCTTCCTATAAAAATTAATTATGTATTGTTAGAGGCATACTGAGATGACGTCATAAAGGAAGGGATAAGAAGTAGTGGTGTCAGTGTAAATATCTCTCCAAACTTTGTGGCCAGGCTCAAGTTAGCGCGATTGCTATCTTGCGCATGGCATTGTAAATTTTAAGAAAAAAGTCGAGTCGTCTTGCACCCGCGTGCCCTACTTGTTGCAACAGACATAAGTAGCAGCACGGATGTTTAGCGCTGAACGAATCATGCGCAGAAGTAAAAAATTAAGTTATTGGAGGGACGGAAGCGGGCGGGGGCGAGTGAACGTCTTGTGCGCTAGCGTTGATTGGTTCCTCAGTCGTCGCTTCTCGAGTACAGTCACGTTTTGGAATCGATTACGTTCGCGATTGTACCGATGCGCAACTATCTATATTACATTTCGTTCAGCGCTAAACATCCGTACCTATACCTGCTTTTTGCGTTCTGCGCAACCATCCGCGCTAACTTCAGCCCGGCCGAAAAGTTTGTAGAGCACTGTTGCGCGCCTCATTTCAACTTTTTCAACTTGGCTAAGGGGTGACTCAGCCCGATTTTCTCTTCAAGTAGTTTGTGATTACTTTAATGTACAAATAGATCTAGTTAATAATTATTGCTCTTTTTTTATTGTATTCTGCTCTTGGTCTTTAAAAGTATAATAAACTGCGACGAAAAAATTATTAATTGTATTTAACTATAACAACACAATACCCCATTGCTATATTAGCCACTAACGTAACTACATAGTACGTTAGATTCTGGGTTATATACTCCACCAAGCATTGGAAAAATTTGTTTCGATTGGACAGGACGAAGAAGTCTCATCAATTACTTGCCTGTTTGAGCGATCAATGAAACGGATACAGAAATCTGTCCGCCTATATCCAACGGGGAAAAACAAGAGACAGATTGTTTTTTTTTAAGAATATTTAACAGATATTCATTTTTCTTATTATATTTGTATATCAGAAGTGGGATCGTATCTTACCTGCCCCTCCTCCCCTGGCTCAGGTTTCACGCTTCAGCTCCGATGGACCGGGCTCGTCAAAGTGCGTGGGACTCACCACCTGGTCGTGCAGAGTGCGCAGATGCCGAAGCAAGTTCGACTTCACGTTGAACCCTTTGTTGCACATGCCGCAGACAAACGGACGTTCACCTGACAAAATTTGTTATTAATAAAGAAAAGTATCTACCGAGTGCTTGTCAATTGTCATCAATAAAAATAATATGTTGCAATGTCAAATAAAAATGAAGGAAAGACTATTTATTGCAATATAACTTAAAAACATCGCACTAATTAATTCAATCATTCCTTCTAATATTATGAATTCGAATAGGTATTATACACTGACGTTCAAACGGCTTAATCAATTTCGATAAAATTTTATATATATACAAACTATTATAAACCGACCGCCTTGTAACTTTATGGTTCAACTATTCATCATATTACTACATCGAGCGAGAAAGGATCTCAATTCTAATCCCGAGGACATTTTTCTTCAGATCAAGCAAATTGCAGTGCTCTAATATTTTACTTGTAAATAAAAGAGATCAATGAAACAGACACAGCCATGTGTCTGCCTTATGCCCAAAACAAAGTAAAAAGGATTTCACACAAGTTTTATTCCGAATGTCGGTAAAATTCCAAGTTTAATTGCATCTGGAGCATGACACGTGTAACTTTACTCTAAAAAGAAATATACGCACCTGTGTGCGTGCGCATGTGTATTAGCATCGACGCGTGCGACGGAAAGGTCTTGTGGCAACTGTCACACGTCTTGTTTTGCTCGCCGTCTGTGAAACGATTGTGACGTTTTGGTGGTAGACTGTTGTTTGATAAGGCCAATTCTGGACAACCGAACATCGAACCAACATTTAGACTCACAATCTATTGGGAGCTAAGAAGCTATTTTTAAACAAGCAATGATGCCAACCTTACGGTGAACTTGATCTTTAAATTGAAATAATAGAAACGCCCGCAGTGCAATTATCTATTACAAGAAAATGGCGATGTACTAATTTCGTAAAATGGCAACACTGATTTGCGGATAGTGCTTTACAGGAATTTCTATCAACATAACTGAAGTGATTATTATGACTGCGGTGCGTTATCAGGAAATAAATGCAAACAAAAATAACACGCATAGGTTCAAAGCCAGGATTGGTAAAAACACTTGAGAATCGATGTCAGTTCGTCTAGAATTAGCCACATACATAACAATCAGGTTTCAGCTATGTTAGTATAATTTATTCACAATATTACATTAATAAAAAAAATGTTAATTAATTTACTCTTTCACATAATTTATATTCTAATACGAGTTAACTTTAGTTTGTGTAGTTAGTTGTACTAGTCTTTTTTCCTTGTCAACTCGTATAAGTATACCCAAACTCAAAACTAAAGATACCCAAATTATCAATCTTTAACAATAAAAACGAGTATTGCGATTTTAATACGATTTTTAATTTTATTTGAAAAGCATTGTTTTTTTTTACGGTTTAAAACGACTACTTTTTATGTTTCGTTTAAATACTGTCTATAGTTTACGCAGTAGTACATTCGTACATAGTTTCGGATGCTTTGCAGCAGCCGTGGTCACGGTCTCCGTCGGGCCGAAGTTAAAAATCATTTTCAAATAAGTTTAACTAATATATCGCGTTTTAAACCGTTAAAGTGTTTTATTTAAATGTTTCGTTTACTTGGCATTAGTCGTAGTCATGGTTCGTAGTTAAAATTCAAGTAATCCAATTTTTTAATTAAACCGTTAAAAGTTTTTGATTACATTTACCACTCGCGGAAACTACTGTATAATAAGGATAAAACTGGGGAACTAAACTTTTAAATTTTTTTTTCTTATTCATAATTATAGGTCAAAATAACCTTATAGATAGAGATAGATACTATTATTAATTTCGACCCATAAACGGCTGCTATTAATATTTCGACCAAAAAAAGGTTACTAATAACATTTCGACTTAAAATGGTGTCGTACCTGTTTCGGTGTGGGTACTTTGAATATGCCGAACCCATTCAGCCGGGTTAGGGAAATGCTTCTGACAGAGGTCACACCGTAGTAATGCTGTTGTCTCTTCCGTGTCGTCACTCTGTTAAACACAGTTACATTCAGTCATTCATTCATTTCTTCGCACTTTAAACATGGTTACAGACTAGCATGGCCTTCACTTGACTTGGACAGTGGAAAACCCCAACTATATAGGATCTTAATAAGAGTCGACATTTTGGTGTTGGATATTTGGAAATCTACAGATTAAACCTAAGCGATTAATTTTCAGAACTTTTTCATCTGTGGGCGGTGGTTCATGATGCGGACTAAATTTCGATATTTCTACCATCAGTGTAACATGTTCGACTCGGTGAAGGTCAAACCCACGACCGGTTGATTATTAGCCATACACGGCGTTAGAACAACGTTTTGATTTAAAGTAACAGAACTAAAAATCGATTATAAATTGAAAAAAAAATTACGAGACGGACAGGACTTGAACCTGCGTACACAGCGTTCCGTGCTGTTGTTCCAACCACTTGAGCTACATGTCCTACACGTCAGTTTCGATTTTTTTTCAACCTATTGATCATGATGACATGCACCTCCCGCGCTCTTTTTTTATTTATATAGTGCCATCATATGCAATAGCAGGAAAAAAAAAGGTTTTCAAATGACTATAAAAGTTACGTCAGATCGTCGTTTCCTCTTCCTCGCGTGTTCCTGGTCGTTGTCGGCATGTTCTTGCACGTGACGGACCCACGCCGCTGGCACCGTGAACACTTCGGCGCACAACTCGCAAGACAACGGACTATACAGCTAGAAATACATAATACTAAAACTTATAGACATGTTTTTTTTATTTCAGTCCTAGACAATTTAATTTAAAATCCTATATCGACTTTTGTGTAACGTATGAGACAAACTAAAATAAGCTTGTCGAGCTTTCAAAGTGGCCACGAATCCTTTAAAAATGCTGTGCATTAATACTTCGCCCGCCTAAGGGCAACGGCATATTCGGGGGAGGGGTCATGACGACGACTATGTGACACCCCCCTGCCCCTGGATCCGCCCTTGCCTAAGGAGCTTTCTGATAAACGCAACGATAACGCTGCAATAGGGGTAGTGACGACACAATCTTATATGTTTTGGCCATTGGTATATGTCGATCATATTATCTACAATTAATTTAAGGATAAAAAAAATATATTTTTTTAACTTACCAAACCTTCCTCGTCAACATCTACATCATCGCACGGTTCAGACTTAACGCTCATTTCAGCTTGGAACATTTCCGCTATAGACCTTTCTTCTTCTTCTATACTGCTGGCATCCCAATCTGGTTCTTCCTTCACTTGAACTTCTACGGTTGAGTTGCTTTGACTGGATTTTTCTGAAGCAGAATTTTTAATGTTTAAAGGTAAGATCGCTTAATCTATGCTAAAGCATTACCGTGATACAACTTTTAGACACCATAAAAAGCTCTCTTATCTATACTGATATATATAAAGCTGAAGAGTTTGTTTTAACGCGGTAATCTCAAGAGTACTGCGAATTGAAAAATTCTGTGACTGTGACTAACAGGAGCGAAGAAACAGCAAGAAATGTAAAAAAAACGGGGGAAATATTCATCTCTCTGGGCTTCCGATGCAAACACCGTGAAAACGATTAAAAACAACCAAAAAATATGTATGAAAGAGCGATTCCTCTTTAAATGATCTAAAAAAAAGTCCGTTACACTATATGTCTATCTTTTAAGATTAACTTGCAAGAACGACGGGACCCGAACGATGGATCGCGAGCGACGAGACGGGACGGGAGCGATGTCGTGGGTAGCAGCTTAAATTTTTAAAAGATGAAGTATAGGTTTACAAAGAACAAACCCAAAATAACTATTCCACGCGGACGAAGTCGCTGACGCAGCTAGTTAATACTATACTTATATTGAAAATAATAATAAATTACGACATCGGCGGATCTAGAGCACCCACAGCGTTTTCTGCTGCTGCTCTGGAACGTTGTAGTTGTCTGTGCAAGTCCCGCAAATGTCGTCATTTTTTTTAATCTAAATAGTTTGTCCCTCTTTTGTTTAGGCGCTTACATTGTTTAAAAGCACGCATTTATACGCAACTTTTAAGCAATGAACTTATTCTTATCCACAAAGATACATTACACTACTTACTTGAGCTAACAGATCTTGTATCCTCATCCTTTTGGTCCTCAGATACATCCATCTTCTGCTTCTTACCATATTTCTTCTCAACTGCATTTCGCCTTAACACTCTGGCTGGTATTGCCTCTTCATGGTCCTCAGCAGATAAAGTAATGGTCGGAGTTGGCATGGTTATTGTTGATGTGGTTGTTTCAGTGTTAGGGGCAGGAGTGACTAATATTGTTTGCCCCTTTGTTCCTGGGACACTTGGTCGTATAGCTGCCTGTGTTGTGCCATCTGTTGTTTTAATAAAGACAAGTTTCGGTGGGCCTATGAACATTGGTCTGGAAAATAAGGCACACAAATACAAATTTATATATATTTCACATTGTGAGTCATATAGACAGTAAGTCAAAAGACAGCTGCAGTACCAACTACGAAAAAAGAGATGGCGCCAGTGTGGCATATTTGACTTTGACATTAGAGAAGTCAACCGTTTAAGTATCTTTATCATGTTTGCTGTAAAGTATCATAAATAACATCACAATTAATTTATTTAGCAATTTGTACCAAGCAAAGAACAACTGTGTTGCTTGGAAGAAATTATCAATATGGCTGTACATTGTAATTTTTTGCGTATAAAAACATTTTTAACATACTTTATTAACTAAGTATTTGAATAAGAAATTTAAAACTGATTAGTATGACTCACCTTCCTCCTTGTCCTTGTAAGGGATTGAATGTCTTGAGAACTTTGTCATCCTTCTTAACTAATTTTGTTTCCTTTGGTTTTTCAGGTTGCTTAGCTGGAGTTGTACTTGTCTTTTCAGCAGGTGTAGAATCACCTCCAACTTCATCTGTTTGCCTCCACAAACCCCTGATCTTTAGCACTTCTCCAGCCTTTAATACTATGTCTAATACTTCATTGGAGACAGTTGTTTCACCTATAACATTTGGAGATTAGAAATACCATATAACTAATTAAAAAATAGTGTTTGATGTACAAAAATTCGTAGGCGGATCCAGGTTGTTCACTCGTGGTTTAAAATTATTATTAAGTTTTGTAATAGCGATTTCATGTAAAATTCCAATTCGAATGAAAAAGGTTATGTATTGTTGTTTTATATTACACTTTAAAAAAGTACCGTATTAGTTTGTATTATTTATGCAAATTATACCTTTATACATGTATTCAACCAGAATCTTCAGGGCTTTCGTGGATATTTCTGAAGGCAGAACCACATATAGGAGCCCGCCCATACGCGTAACAGATCGCTGTCCATCAAATAAGCCGCTAAAGTACACGCTGCACGAGCTCAGTATAAACTTATGTGCCGGTATCTGCGACCCATCCATGGTGCAAAGGACCACATCCGTGAACCGTTCCGAGCGAAGTAAAGACGCCACGGAACCGTTTAAATGGGAGCTGTGCGAATGCCATTTCAACTGATACGTATCAGTCGATGTCATATTTAGTTGTCGTTATTGTCCATCTGTATTAAAATAATAACAATAAATTACGTTTAAAATTAAAAAAAAGTGAAGCGGAATTTCGTTTGAAGTAACGGTCACGGGTGGCGGGAATTAAGCAAACGCCATATTATAATTTGAAGGTCAATTGTCATATTTATTAATAGAATAAAATATAATAGCAAACAATATTTGGTTAGAATATTTTTTTACAAAATATCATATAACACAGTATTGTAAATTCATTTATGTTACTATTACTGTTTTCACAAAGTTATTATTTTAAATAAGGTAATTATATTATTATTAAAACAGGTCATCAACCGCCGATGACCTTTCAACGAAAACAATGTTCTATGTTTCCCGTGTAAATCTAACCTTACGTCACACGGACTAGGAATGATTTTTCTAACGACGTATTCAAAGGCACGAGGGCTAAAAAATATAATCGCCGCGGTTAAAAAAAAGAAAGCGACATTGTTTAACACGATGATAAATAATATTTCAATGCAGCACATTTGTAGATATTTTACGAGTTGCGTCACGAGTTGTTTAAGCCCGCGAACCTTTGAAATTTTCAAAGTCACGTAAAAAAACTCGGGTTTTTAATAAAACTTACGAATAAATGTTCTGTAAATATCACTTAGTTTAAATTTGAGAAGACAAATCGTTGTTTATAAAAAAATCGATAAGATATTTACAAAAAATCCTAATTAATGAATATAGAAAATAATTACCTCAAACCAAATAAATTCCACGGCGAATTAAAAATATCAAAATGCACAGATTTATCGGCGTCGCTCGTATCGCAACCACCGCTTGCGACCCTTGCAAGCCGTTTGCGGCGGCTGCGGCTCTGAAAATCGATGCAAGCAATATTGATTGAGCCAGAGAAGCGGGGTTGCGCGTTTATCTTATCGATCGATGCTCGTTTGTTCGGGCTCGAGGGGCAACGCGTCGCGTCGGCTGCGCGCGCGTGCGTATCGAGGGGTGCGCCGCTTGCTTGTACGGCGACAGCGCCCGCCGTACCGCGCCTACCGCTTTGAACCGTCTGTTCATGCGCAAACCTAAAGGAGTTTTAGGTTACAAAAGTATTTATGCAATATTTATAATTTATATTAAACTCTGGGAGCCAGATTTTTGAATTAAGCTTGAATGAAAAAATACCTAAACAATGCCTTTTTATTTTTTTTTTATTACTTAAAATGTTCATAAACCATACTTTTAAAATAGAGAAAGATGCTCCAAAGAACTTAATAACAAGTCATTTAGTTGAAAGCGGCCGGTTTCAGCTACACATATACATATAATAATGCATTTTTATGATTTCTTTAAGTTTCATAATTTGTGATGAATCATTGGTAAATCGTTCATAAAACCTATTTTATTAAAATAGAGATCAATGTTGGAAATAAACTAGTTCTTTAACGTGTTTACGGTTTTAATTTTATTTTTTTTAAAAATATGAAGTCTTTAGTCATAGGCTGAATAAACGAAAAACAACCAAACCCAGCTGCATCATTTGCCAATCGAGATTGAAACTGCATTAATCAATTTTATTAAGTGACAATACCACCAAATAATATATATAAGTTAGGTTATAGGTTTATAAGGAACATAAAATGAGTTCCGCAATAGCAATGCGTGGGTGCAGAGAGGAGAGTGCTGTGCGGGAGGGGCTAGTAAATCAATAAACTCTGCGCACGCGATCAACGGCCGCCTTTGAAACCCCCCTGTAAGCTGGGAGTGCAATGGAGACCACCTTCGTTTAATATTAATTTATATTTTTTTGAAGAGATAACTTGTCTGGCGGGGCTGCGAACTCGTTTTATGGGTGAAAAATGTCATGCTAGACTACGATAGCTAAATAAATAAATATTTTATTTTACTACATAAATGATCCATTTTCCACTGATAAAATTTAAGTAATTCACGCATTAAGTATTTTAAATTTTTTCTAAAATATTAAAGATTTATAACGTTAGTAATAAAATTTCAATAATTTGTTATTCCTCAATATATGCGTAATGGTTGAATGATCCATATACATAAGTAATATACTTGAGAACGTAATAAATGTCAGAAGTTATTAAAAATAAATCTCTATCTTTTAAGAAGAGACCATGACAATGTAAAAATCCGTTTCTCCTGCATAGATTATGGAGCAGACACATTTCTGTGTCCGCTTCTATTAATGTTTAAAAAAAGACATGTTCTTCTATGCCATCTCTGATCAAGTAATAATTTATCTTGTTCCCCGGGATTCAAACCCAAGTACTCGCGCCTAACGCAATGCAAGACTATGTGTTTACAATAGAACAACATAAAGAAAGTAACATAGCAAGGCACCATACAAGGCATAATATTAAAAGTATTTCAAAATTGAATTTATTTATAAGTTTATTGTTGCGAACACGAAAAAATTAAACGCCTTTCAGTGAAATAACACTAATCTTTTTTTTAAAAGTCTGTGGTTGTAATTGTATGTTAAGTAAAATTTTAAGCTGTAGGTAAAAATAAATTATTGACATATACATGACGTATGCCGTGCATGTACCATCATCTGTGTCTGACACCACGTTGTTTACGTTTTAAATTGGCATAATTATTGTGTTTATTTGTTTAAATATTCCTTCTCCTATAAGTTTTTATTTATGTAAACTTTAAGTACTTCACTATCAAAATGAATAATCCAACCAAGACATCGTCGTTATCTAGCGACTTGAATAATTTCATATATGGAGTATCAAGGCGAAATTTTCAAAATGCTGCCGAACTGACCAAAATTGGGATATCTTTATTAAAAACTTTTCCAGCTGCAAGAGATGCTGTTTTGGAGTATTTTGCTATGGTCTTTCATGATTCTGTTAATGTAGCAATAAATCCTGCAGACTATGAGGTAATCATTTTATTTTCTTTTTAATGAATTGTAAATAGGAATACATAGTCATTAATCTTAATAATGCTTTCCACTTTTACCACTACAAGCAATTTATTTTTGCAGGTAGATCCGAACTCTAATGCTTCTCTGGAAGCTGTAAGTATGATCGGTCCAGAACTTTGTGGCTTAGGGGAATCTTGGGCACCGTTTATAGCACCATGGTGCATAAAATTGATAATGGATATTGCTACAGACAAAGCTAATTTGCCAAGTAAGATACATAATTTTAATTAAATTTGATACAGTTTTACAGAAAGTAATAAGATTTTCAATTGTTTTAGATTGTATTAATGCATTGGTTATAGCTATGACCATTCATTTCTCCCTTAACTATTGTTTATTAGAAATTACATTTTAGATGCAACTCTACAAAGTATAGATCCAGTGAGAGTGCTACTTGACATAACAACACAAAATTTAATGCTCCTTAACTCAGATGAAAGAGCAAAATGTATTGATATGATGTTGGGTAAGAATGTTTCATATATTTAACAAATTTTACTTACAATATATGAATAATAGAATGTAACTCATATTTAATAATGTCTATAGGTTGTCGAGCATGCTCATGGGCAGTGGGTTGGGTTGGCCGGGCAGAGCCAGAACTGGTTGCACCAAGGGCATTAGCTTTAGGGGCTGATGCTGCACGCGCAGTGTTAGCTCATTTAGCCAATCATCCTCCAGCTTTACTCCATGTCAGGGCGGCCCTAGTAGATCTATTTCAGGTTTGTTTTGTTCATTAAAAAAAAATTTTTTTTTTTTTTTGGGCACCTTTGGAGGGTATAACACTTTCATAGTAGACCAAATTTTTTGGATCTGGTGTTGTAGAGGAAGTGTAACTTTAATAATTTTTTATATACAAGTGTTTGAGAAAATATTTATTTATTCTTTTATTTACAGGATGCAATTAAGGAAGACCCAAAGTCGGATAAAAAACGAGATGTTATCCCATATTTATTGAATCTTGCGTCCAAATCTGATATAGTTTTAAAAGCTTTAATCCAAGATATAGAAAACACATGTGAGTTTTCGTAAAAGTGGACCTTAGTACTATTCTAGAAATATTTTGTTTGTATGTGCAGTTAGTGTTAGGTTCATTAATGCCAATATGGTTTGATCCATTTTAATATAACTACGAGACATTTGACAATGTGAATTTTATAAAAGCCAAGATTTAGTCTGCACCACAGCTATGCAACTCATTTATACTGTAATATATTATTCTTAACAGTGACAGACACAGTTATGGATCGTCTAAGTGCTATATGTGCTATGCATAGACATAGTGGATCTTGGGAGGGAGTTGGACCAGCCTCATTGGTCACTCTTCTTCTTCGATCTGATGTACACTGTTTTCTATTACTCCTGAAACATGCCCAGAAGAATGTCTTCTGTCGCCAGTTGCTCGGTAAGTCCCATTAAAACATAAAACCTTGAAGAATGCTAGAGGCAAAATAGTATCAGTCGTGTTTTATATTTTTTTCCTTTCAGAGTATTTGTTGCAAAAGCTCGAGAATGAAGTAATGTATCCAGACAGAACAGTCCCACTGCTGATTAGTGCAGGAGAAGAAATTAATATTGTTAGAGAGAAACTGCTGGTTGGAAATCAGTTAGAACAGTATTCTATAGCCAGAATATTAATATTAGTATGTAAGTATTTTGTCAGTAACTTGAAAAAAGTAACTTTTAATGTAATGTTTAATAAATACGTCTCAGATAAAATAGCATTCCTCAAAGCAAATAAGACGTAGGCACCTTTCTATGCTTCAGGATTTGAACTTATGGCTATTTATCAAAGGTCATTATGTTATGTGTCAGTTTTTATAGGTATAATACTGGATTGCTTTATTCTTTTATATAAATGATTAACACCATCTTTTATTCTAGGTTATAACCAACCATCAGAGTTCATAAGTACGATAGCATATCTGCTTCAATATTCTCGTACGGACACGACCCTAGCACTGCTCGTACGCATTATATCTGGAACTATAACGATGCACACACCAAACGACTCAGCCGATATTAATATGGACACAGAGAGATACCAGAATTTTATAAAAACTGGTGTTGAGTATGCATTAAGAGATTCCATGCTGGCAGACGAGCAAATAAAGAAGTATTTTATCGTGGATGAGTTGGCCGGCGACCAGAAAACCTATATGCATTATTATAGTTTGAATGTTATTAAACTCCTGAGGTAAGATTTAATATTTTACCAGTAGATAATCGTTTCTGCTGTCAATTTTACCAACACAGCGATGTGCAAATACTATCTCTAGATCTTGATAGATTTTATGTTATTATTTCCTGAATGATTAAAGCATTTATTATTTATTTCTTCTTAAAGCTTGTTTAACTAAAATTATTTACAAGCAACTTTTTAACATCTAATAAGCATTTGAATGAGTTTTAATTTTAAACACTTTATGGAATAAAAGGAATCAATAGTTAAACTTAAAGTAAATAACCTATTAATATTGAAAAAAATTACGAGATGGGCAGGACTTGAACCAGCATCTACAGCGTTTCGTGCTGCTGCTCTAACTAATTGAGCTATGTCCCTCGGTTTAAGCCTGTGTCGAAATATTAAATCCCAATAGATTTATTTGTATTAACCTGTGAATAATATTAAAGCTTTTAAACTTAAACCATTTATTTCACAAGACATAAATAACTTAAAGATTAGTTCTTAAAAACTAGATAAAAGAGGGGGAAAAAACCGGCCCTTTTCCCCCCCCCCCCCGGGGGGGGGGGGGGCCCCCCCCCCCCCCCCCCCCCCCCCGGGGGAAACCCCCCCCCCCCCCCCTTTTTCCCCCCCCCCCCCCCCCCCCCTTTTTTTTTTAAAAGAGAACTTACGAGTGGATTATACGTGTAAAATAAACCAAATGATTATATTTTTTAAAAGGTGGGAGAATTCGAACCGCGTATCAGCTTTGCGTACGCGAAGTATTTGCCGAGCGGTGGAAGCGAACTTGTACCGTATTGGTGGGGCGCTACAGCGTTACGCGAGTTTGCTGCAGCCACGCGCGTCTTCTACCATGGCTGTGCTACCAGAAATGCCCACTTGCCATGCTCTTGCGCAGGTATATATGTCTCGATTACCTTCTCACATAGAGTATATAAATACTATAAGCATATTAATAAAACGACTTGTAAACATTCACAACAGAGTAATCTACTACTTTTCAGTATCTCAAAAAGTTTATTTGATGTATGTATGTGACATCCCTATAGACGAGCTAACTGAATCATTTTCGTTCGTTCGACACAAAAATAGCCAGATAGATTTAATATAGCTAGCCAATTTTATTTTCATTAAAGTCACAAATAACCCAATTTCCTTTCATAGCCTTCGCAGTATTGGGCAAGCATATTTCTGTGTCCGTTTCTGATCGCGTTTATTTGCAAACAAGTAGTTGGATCAGGCTTCCGTTGCCCTATTCGACTGCAACAATTAAATGTTTTATATAAATTCCAACCTAGGACGACATGTTTAACGCGGGGCTAGGCAACGCAATTTAAAAATTGCTGTTTTATTATTTTAAAAGTTTGACTACGTTTTCTTTTTTTTAAGATCCTTGACAGAGTGGATATGTCTGGGACTAAATCCCCGCCACCAAGTGTTGAAGTCATCCTTAAAGTAGTGCAAGCCGTTGTTAAATATTTCTTCAGGTGTCTACACGAGGAAGGTATACTATTTTAACTAAAAAATATTTCTATAGGCTAAGATTATTCTTGTAATCAAACACTTTTACACTTTAAGCCCGTCAAGTTAGTGTAGCGCTTGAGCGGGGCGAATATTTTTGTATAATTTTGCGAGAAAACTTGTACATTATTATTTAGAATAGAAATACTTTTATTCAGAAACACAACACATACAATTAAACTTAATTTAACAAACTATATCATAAAGTAGATACAAATTTTACTAAATACGGTAGTATAGGTGCCTCTGAAAAGGAAGCCACTCAGCTACGTTGGGACAGCAGTCGGAATATTCTGTGGCCCCTTCAGAGGCTTAGCTAAGTCAACCGAGATCGTTTTACATTTTGTTTTGTTTGTTATTTGACTGATTTTTAAAATGCACTTTATATTAATTGGTAGATGTTAAGGTACCCTAGTAAAGTAGTATTTATCAATTCTTTATTTAAACATATTTGCTGCAAATATATCAAATTAAATAATTCAATTGCGCACGTAAACGCTAAGTTTACAAAGTAACGCTGCAATACGGCTAGTGACGTCACGACCTTATATTGACACTAGTGTATGTCGATCATATGATCTACAATTTACGTGCATCAAACATTTACATTTTAATAGTGATTAAGTAATAAAGTAAGTTACAAATTTATTAATGCAGAGAATAGAACAGTTTTAACACTGTGAAGCAGTTTTTGCACTGTTTATAAGCAAGTGACGTCATAACCCCGACAAATCCGAGCGATTTGTGTCACGTGACAAATGTTTAAAGAAATAATTGTTTTTTTGCGGTTTTTTGTTTTAGTTAATTTTTTTTTTTAACATATGAGCTGTTTTACTATTTCTAAACTTAATACTGATAACAGTAATTGACGCTATAGTTTTCGCACTGTCAAATAGCCCATTGCACTTATACATAAAAGTTTTGATAAACCATAGTATTTGAATTGTTAATTTTATTAATTTTTAGATATATTTGAAAAAATATGCGGCGTCCAAACGGCCAGCAGGCTTCTTCGTAAATTGTGCCTTCACAGCAAGTTGGCCCGGGCCGTGGCTCTCCGGGACTTGCTTGAAACGGCCATGTTTAGAGAGGACAAGATCTTCGGAAGCAAAGCAGTCATACCAAACCTGTTAGCGACTCCTAAGGAATGGAGTAACGATGACCTGCTCATGTATATGAATCAAAAACATGTGAGTTGCAATCTCCCAGCTCGTAAACAAGATGCGCTCTCGACTTTTCTTGCATTTGGATATTCGATAATCCACAGACTGAAAATGAAACGCGATTGACCTTCACGGCCTTTTCATCTGTAGACGGTGGTTCGTGAACCATAAAATTACTATATTCATACCACCCATTGAGTATCCAGATTTCAAGACCAAGTCTAACAGGTTTTAGACAAATATTAAATTGAAAAAAATAGAATCATGTTGGACCTGGTGGGAATTGAACCCACGACCCATTAATTATTAGCCATACATTGTTACCATTACACCAACGAGCTCGTCAAAGAATGCTCAATGTCTGATATTGCTATCCACTTCTGATGGTGAAACGTCAAGAGTCATTTTTTAATTACTTCAGTATTCTGCAGCTTGATAACCCAAGTAGCTCCTAATAGCGTTTATTTCTTTCATTTGGTTACAAAACATCGCCCTGAGACCATTAGGAGCGAAGAAACAGTGTTTTCTTCGCTCCTAATGGTCTCAGGGCGATGTTTTATAGCTTAAAGCCCTCCTCGATAAATGCTCTAACCAACACAAAGAAATTTCAATTCGGACCAATAATACCTGAGATTAGCGCGTCCACGCAAACTATCAAACACTTCAGCTTTATAATATTAGTACAGATAATTTAGAAAAGGTGAAGGTTTATGTCAGTGGGTTTATTCTTCTTTCTTTATAATATTTAAAAAAATTGCAGGGTCCCATAACTCAGCTTACCCAAAGCCATACGTCGGTCTTCCACGCTGGCATAATCGGTACTGGGGTGAGGAAACAAAGCGGACAAGATCTCGACGGTATACCCCCGATACTTACCACAAACAACGAACTCCTTATGGGCGCACTTATGTCTTGTATGGTAAGGTTCTATAGGTTCATCTTAACATTATAAATAAAAGACATTCAAACGGTTTAAAACGTGAAATACTAAAGGACTGAATGCTAAAGAGTTTGCCCAAAATGATTAATTCTCGTATAATTTAGTATTACGATTATTCACGACGAGTTATCCGTCTTTTATAGATTTCTTTAAAGCAATGCAACTCATACAACAAAGGAATTTGTATTATGCAAATTAGTTTGATGGAATAAGCAACCAAAAAAAAAATCTATATAATTTTCCATTGTATGTATTGTATTCTTTAAAAATATTCTTCATTATAAGTATTATACATGAAGTAATCAAAAACATTCTAGGATGGAAACAGCGGAGTTGTTGAGGGGGCAACATCGGTGTCCCTTCTACTCGTCGAGTTGGTATCACCTGATGTCATGTACAATGGTCTACCATGGCCTGATGAGGATTTTACAAAGGTAAGCTGAATAAAGATTTTTATAAACATTGGATATAAGGTTGACTGTTTAGCTATAGGTGTAATTAAACTAGAATTTTAATAATAATTTTAATAGACAAATTTTCCTTCGTTAGCTATTTTGTTTTGCAATAAGCGACAATTAATTGTTCTATTATTATTGTCTAAAAATGTACCTTGTGTAAAGTTTGAATTCAATGTTTAAAACTTTAAACTGGTTTAAATTTTTGTAGAGTATGAGCAGTTTTCTTTTCTTGTATATAAAAAAAAATAGTGATGATTTTACTGAAGTAATGCTGTTAATAGGAAACATCACATTTTTCTTTACAAGAAAAATTATTGACGATATGTAATATAACATATTAAAAGAAATAATTATAGTGCGATTTAAAGATGTACAATGCCATCTATTATAATTTTGAAATTAATTTCGTATTACCTATTAAACTTAACAGATTGAACAAAACGACATTGCCATACGTTAACCTAATCATAAGATAGAAAAAGAGACTTTATTGCATTACAGAATTATTTCAGTCAAGAGCGAAAATTGTTTGGCATATTTGAAATGTGATAATAAATTATTTCTTATAGCAAGTCAGTATTGAACGCGAGCTATATATGCGTGGCGCGGTGGAGCGTTGTGCTGTGGCTCGGGCTGCTCTAAGACGTGTTGCGCTAGCCAGGCCTGCTCTGTGCCTCTCCTCGGCGTTGCTGCGCGCTTCTGCTGCGACACTCCTTCATAGACTAAGGGCACATCTAGGTAAGAATTTATTTATTTACACAAATAGTAGAGCTAAGGAATAACAATTAAGAATAAAGTTTAAATGCATCCTTAGCAGTTTCACAAATAGTTTAAATAGAACTAAAAAATTAATGTTATGTTTCAACTACAAATTAACTAACACAAACATAATTAAATTGAGATACTGCTTCATCTGCTTTATCAAAAAAAAAATAAAAAGTTTTTTTTTTGATGAAGCAGTATACGAGTTAGTTATATAGTTATTATAATAATGAGGAAAATTCTACTTAATACTTGGGAAAATCCGTTTCCCATTCACGGTGCAGCTATATATCTGTCTGTTGGCTGTTGGTTGAACTGGTTCTTGTGGTGAGTAGTAACTATCTATTCACATCGGCCGAACAGCCCGAAAGACAATGATATGCTGAACGATGGCCTTACACAATTTATTAGTAACTATCTGTTCAAATACAAAAACTTTTAACGGTTTAAAACACGAAATACATTAGTTAACTTATTTACTTTAAACTACCGACGTTTCGCTGATCACAGCCAACGTTAACTAATATATATCGCGTTATATATACAGCGTTTTAAACCGTTACAAGTATATTATTTAAATGCATACTACTCGCGTAAACTACAAGCGGTATCTATCTAGCAACCAATTATAATATATGCTCACGTTTCTTTTTTAGATCGTCATACGCAATCCCCGGAACTATCCCGCGAATTGTCAGCCCTAACAGAGTTACTAAGTACAATGACGTTAGGACAACTATTACCTCACCCGCTGAGCCATATGCTGGAATTAGCGCCGGAACTGACTGCTAGTGAGGTAAATTTATACTTTGATTCCGAATATAAGCGTAATTAAGAAAACTTTACTTAACAAACTTATACTGGTCCTTCGAGTCGGATGAATTTAAATACTCTGTCGGAACTTAAATTATTAACATTAAAATCACAAATTACCCCCCAATCTTTTTTTAAATTTCTTCATATTATTTACTGTAAAACGATATCTTTCACTGTCTATTTTGTGTCGTTGTTCTATGGGCATTGTGTGAAAGAGACAACTTTCTATGTGTTTATGTTTTCAGTTGGTGCAAGTATTGCGAGATTGTTTATGGAACTACACGCGGGATCATGTGCCGTCCCCTGCATTGTTCACATGTGATTCCACAGGTATAGTATATATTATAGTTTTAAGATTGCTTGAACTGAATATTTATTCGTTTTTTTTTGTGACTGATAATGGGCAACATTTACGCAAGATACTCAATAAAAACTTATTTTTTAGGTCTCCATTGGCGTGACCCATCTACATGCAAGCCACCTACGGTCTATACAGACACTCTTCGGATTATTTTGCAAAAGAAAATAGCAACACTGGGCCACATGTATCCTATAATGTTTTTAAATCTCGAAAAGGACTCATAGTAACACAGTGTTATATAATTGTAAAATTGTAAATACAATAATAATCTAGGAAAATTAAAATGCCTGATTGGGTGATTTGTGTTTTACTTTTAGCTCTAAGAGAAAAATACGATAAATACTGATACGAGAACAAAACTCCGCTGACCAGAACTCCATGCTCGTTGACCCTTTGCCGAGATCTGACATAAACAGCAATAAGCAAATAATATTTTATAAAGATGCGTACTTCGACTACCGTCACTTAAATTAGTAGTGATAACCGGGATCGACGGCTTAACGTACTGTTTGAGGAACGGGGATGATAACTCCTACTGCCAAACACTAGGCTGGTGCTAGTTAATTTTCTTAGGAAGATTCCAAGCGGCAACGTAACATCTCGCCAGACCAAGGATTCGAATTAGTGACCTTGTTATTTGTAGTTGATTGTACTGACCACTAAACTAAAATCGATTATTAATCGATCGTGTGCGTTCTCTACTCATAAGACAATTGTCAGGTGTCAAATTTGAATTTATAATGTAGGTACTTTCTTGTACCATGATAGAGAAAGTATAAGTCAAAACAATGCATACAAACAGTAAAACGTCGAATCTAAATAAAACATAATAAGTGTTGTATTGTTTCTTATAGCAGAGTGATTCATGATTTTAATACATCATATATAATAATAATTTATTTAATTGTGAATACCAACTGAAGATCACAAAATCATGGAGGAAGAAACAAAAAAGCCAATTTGTCTTATAATTTTAGGTTAGAATTGTGCTTGTTTGAGTCTCTATTTACAATTGTTTTTTATTAAATCTTATCTTTCATTAAAAAAAACGTAAAACGCTGTATTACTAACTATGCTCTCAATATATTTGGTGTCATTCGTTCGATGTCATTATGAGTGGAGATTTACAGGTATGGCAGGGGCTGGTAAAACATCATTTACAAGACGTTTAGCGGGAAAAGTTGTAAATGGATCAAGGCCCTATCTTATTAATTTAGATCCTGCTTGCCGAGAAGTCCCATATCCAGCAAACATAGGTATGAATCTTATTGTAATATAAATCAAGCCCTCAACAGGTGTATTTTTAAAAGAGAATATAAATAACGTTTTTCTAGATATAAGAGATACTGTAGACTATAAAGAAGTAATGAAGCAATATGGACTTGGACCAAATGGAGGAATAGTAACAGCATTAAATTTGTTCTCCACAAAATTTGGACAAGTTGTTGATTTAATAGAAAAAGCTGGGAAAAAACATAAGTACTGTGTTATGGATACACCAGGTAATAAAACATTTCTAAAAAATAAGCCTTCATTTTTTTTTTTTTTTTTTATACAAACCTTTGTTTGTTTGTTCCTTAAGTAGTTTTATGACAAAGACATGCCTGCCATATTAATTAACAGCATCAACATCAAAATAAATGTATAATAGTTTTAAAAATGTTGTATGTAACAAAAAAGGTTTACTGCACACCTTGCTTAAATGGTATATGCCTTTTGTACTTTATCTTTCAATAAGTAAACCCTGTGCTTGTCAGTCTTCTGTTATTAAAGAGTAACATTATAGCATTGTCTTTCCAGTAGGTTGACCGCCTCTGTAGCCAAATGGTTAAAAGTATTGCCTAGCATTGCGTTAAGCGCGAGGGGTCCTAGGGTTGAATCCCAAGGAAACAAAAAATTGTTTCGGTCAGTCAGGGCACAGAAGTCTGATCAACAACTTGCCTATTAAAAAACGGATCAGTGTAACCGATTCAGAAATGTGTTTGCCCCATGCCCCACGAGGGGGATTTCACACTTAGGTTTAAAGAATTTATTTTTCAAAGAATATACATATTCACTTATAGAAAATTAATACTTAAACTTAAATGTGTTTACATGCATCGGACTTTAATTAAACGAAAAGTGATATATATAAAAAAACTTATTATTAACTTATACTTTTCTAAAATATGGAACTTTAATGATTTCTTGAAGATGTTTATAGACTGGGCGTTTTTTTAAACTTTCAGGTAACTTATTGTACAGATCAGCACCCGTAAATCTTAAATATTTTTACCGTAATTAGTTCGGGGTGGGGTAGTGACAAGTTGTGTTTATTTCTGGTTTGGTATCTGTGATTTTTCTTCGTAAAAGTTGTTTGACTGTGTGTGCTATGTGTGATAATTTTATGAATGTAAATGCATGTATGATAGGTAAATAGTTGAGAAATGTCAAAAAATTTTGTATTTTCATAAACCTTTTTAGTAGAAGTTAGTGCTTTATAATTAAACAAAGATTTTATAATTTTTGATTGACATGTTACTAAAGGTTTTAAGTTAGTCTTTGCTACATCCCCAACTGGAATAAGATAGTCTAAATGCGGTTTGACTAAGTTTATATAATATATTTAGCCTTATGGGGAATACATTTGGATATTTTTTTCACTAAACAACAGCGGGTATATCTTTGATCGTATATGGTCAATGTGAGCTTTCCACGTAAGTCTATTATCTAAAATAAGTCCAAGGTATCTCTCCTGATTAGATCTCTTAATAGTTACTTTGTCAATCTTAGGTGGTTCAAAACATGGTATTTTTTTATTTTTTGCAGAAAAAATCATGTAGGACGTTTTTTCAATATTTACAGTTAGAAGATTAGATTTTAGCCAGCGTGATAATATGTTTAGATCATTTTGAGTTTCATTTATAATTCTATCTATACTATGACCAAAGTAAAACAGACAGGTGTCGTCGGCATATAAAGAAATATTACCTTTGAGGCCTATTTTACTGATATCATTGATATAGACCAAAAATAACAAGGGTCCTAAGATGGATCCTTGTGGAATTCCACACATGATTTTAGTCAGGCTACTTTCGTGTTTGTTAATTTTTACTAGTTGCTGCCTGTTACTTAAATATGATTCAAATATCTTATGAGCCGTGCCTCCTAATATATGACTTAACTTTTCTAAAAGGACCGAATGGCTGATTGTATCGAAAGCCTTTTTCAAATCTATAAATATACCGAGAGCTATCTGCTTATTGTCAATGCTTTCACTTATTTTCGTTACAAGATCAATTGTTGCATTAAGTGTACTAGATCTTGGGCGAAATCCATATTGACCGTCGTATAAGAACTGTCTATCATTCAAATAGCCAAGTAGTCGGGTGTGGAGTATCCGTTCATAAATTTTAGATATTACAGGCAACACTGAAATCGGTCGGTAGTTACTAGGGTCACTTCTAACACCATTTTTATAGATTGGGGAGACCTTAGCTACAGCTTACAGTAGGTTATTTATGATTCTATATATTTCAGGTCAAATAGAAGTATTTACATGGTCTGCATCGGGGACTATTATCACTGAGACATTGGCATCTTCCTGCCCCACTGTTGTTGTATATGTTATGGATACTGTAAGAAGTGTTTCCCCAGTTACATTTATGTCAAACATGTTGTATGCTTGCTCCATACTGTATAAGACGCGGCTTCCGTTTATTGTTGTAATGAATAAGGTATGTTATTGTATATTTAAAATGGGTACTTTACGTTATCATACTGCTGTATAATAGTAATTTTAATCATCAACATTATTTTTAAATCTTTCATATTGTCTTGTGGAGTCTGTGGGCCTGTAAATATATTTTTTTATATTTCTTTAGATGGCTTTACAAACCTCATTTTGAAATCAGTATCTAGTCTAGTTTTATACCTGCTGCTTGCGTATTACAGACAATAATTAGTTTAGCAATTCTACTTGTAACATACAAGAAACAAATTACTTTTTTAGTGACTTTGATGATTTATTCTGAACCTATACAGCATTACATAATAAAACCTTATTTTACAGACCGATGTCGTAAATAACTCCTATGCAGTTGAATGGATGCGAGATTTTGAAGCATTTCAGGAGGCGTTAGACTCCGAAGACTCTGGAGAAGGGAGTACATATGTTGGAAATTTGACTCGCTCCATGGCACTTGCCCTGGATAACTTTTACACAGATCTGAAGTGTTGTGGTGTGAGTGCTCACACAGGTGATGTAAGTTTGTTTAAATTATTTTAAATTTTTACATGAAAGATTTATTTCAAGCTACAACAAAGATTACTTGTCTGTGTATAAAGTAGTATTGTTGTGTCCGTAGTAAATGTAGTCGATTTTACTTACTACTTTTAAAAGAGCTTTTAAACTTTACTTCTTTTCAAACTATGAAAGCTAAAATTTGACAGGACAGGATTTTTTCGGACAGAGGGTGACAGTCAGGGATAAAACTTCTAAGCAATGTGCGTTGTAGACTATTTGAAATTGCTAAATATGCTAGACAATTGAATGGTAGAGCAATTAAATAGCCCTACTGGGTAACCTACCCAGGTGGACATTGTGTGGTAGGGCCAGATAAGAAGAATGGTAGGGTAGGCTGGATGGATTTTTTTCACTTTTTTTTCTTTCTATTGATAAATATCTAAAAGGCCCTTTAATCACAAACGCAAGTGTGCTTAGTGGTGCTACATTTGATACAAGTTATCTATCATTTGTTGCAGGGCATAGATGAATTTTTCAAATTAGTCGACGAAGCTGCAGAAGAATATGAAAGGTATATAAATTTACAACTGTCGATAATTAGCGCGCTTTTTTATTATGTTCTGAGGGTTCGGGGTTTGATTCATGGTTTTTTTATTGACTAGGAATTAAACCCTGCAAGTCTCTCTTCAAGCGTATAGTCATTTTTAAAACTATTTTTTTTTTATAATAAAGCTTTATTTGTTTTTTAATCTTAGAAAAAGTAAATCCTTCAGAACAATAGACTTTAAATTGTTATATTTTTACAGAGATTATAAAGCAGATTGGTTAAAAATGCGGAGAATAGAGAGGAGAAACGAAAAGAAGAGAAAGCTAAACAAAACATGGACAGTAAGTGCTCAACAACTTTAAAATAGTTTACTAAAAAAAAACAGTTTTAAATAAAGTAGTCCCTAATATCATGTTTATTATTATTTTTTGGTGCAGAAAGAAACATGTATAGCTTCAGATCAAATTATAAAAGAAGTAAATAGTACACATTTAAATATAACACAGCTGCTGCAAAAAAACCGAAACGTCGAGTCATAGTTCAAATCTATTTAACTAATATATTTCGCGTTTTAAACCGTTACAAGTTATTTAAATATAAAAGAGTTTTCTAATCAAGAACTATAAAAATCTTTTTCAGCAACCAGTGATACAGTACTAGATAAGAATAAACTAATAGAAGAAGTGATGGGGGGAAGAGAGATAAGCGAAATGTACCTCAAGCATCCAGGCAATGAAAGTTCTAGTGACGATGAAGGCACAGAGGTGCAGAAAGAGATCGGTAAGGCTATATGTGTGTGTTGCCCTAAATTATCTTTATTAACTAAAACTACGTTTTACTACTGGTGGCAAACCTAAAGCTGGAATATGCAGCCAACACTGAACAGCTGGAGAAGAAAATATAAGAAATATCTTATAATACGGTATACATTACACTCGGGTCACTACCTATAATATTCATAGTTACAAATTATGAAATTTATATTGTTCTTCCAGCATTAAAAATATTCTTTTTTCCAGTAAGGCATCTAGTAGTAGTAGATATATTTGAAGGTTTCATCTAATTCCTCGTCATGTCTGGTCGGTCACACTGTTAAAAAATTGAATTGAATTAAAAGTTTTACACGGGCACGGCTTGAACCGGCAACCACAAGGTCATGCGCAGGTGGTCTATGCAAATAGGCTCGGAAGTTAAATTGGTTAGAGCAGCTGCTTGGAGGACTTGCTGTGGATGCCGGCCCGTGCGAGGCGTCATTTTTTTCATTCTGAATTGATTTTTCTTGAAACTGCATATTGGCCCTTATCATTTTCAGATGACAAACCGGAAGATGTGCTAGCGTTCCAAGAATTCATTAAGAAACATGTTAAACCTAATAATAGCGAGAGTAACACGTAATGTGTTCATTTGTAAAAATATTATATTTTTTTAAGTACCTAATGCATTTTGATTTCATATAACGTTTAAAATAATGATCTTCATTGTTTTAACCGTTATACAAACAGTTTTATGTGGCCTTAAGATTGGAATAATAATATATATTAGCGTTTCGTTATCACAAATGTATGACTTTTAAATAAAACACTTAACGGTTTAGCAGACGAAGAGACACGGGGGGGACAATCTCCCAGTGACTACAGCTGTTGCAAAGCATCCGAAATGTCGGGCCGAAGTTAAAATTAATTTTCAAACAAGTTTAACTAGTATATATCGCGTTTTAAGCCGTTAAAATGTCTTATTTAAATGTGTATCTACCAGCAGTATTTAATGTGTTTCAGTATTTTTAATTAATGACTTCATCATTCATTCAGATGTTAGGCTTTTGTAAAACAATAGAAGTCAGACTCAGGCAGTTAGGTTGGGTCAAAGTAATGTTGCTAAAGGGACACATAAGACTTATTTATACCTGATTGGTGGGAGAAAGTGGGTCCCACTAAACTGCTAAGACGAACTATAAATAAAATAAAACAATATCAACCGAATAACTAAATTTAATATAAATAATTAAATAAGTCACACACGTGTATAAATTCACAAACAAGGGTGATATTCTAAAAAACTAAAACCGTATGGTTCATACATGGATGGTGATGATATTATGTAAAAGAAAATAAATAATAAATAGGGCCTCAAACTCGGTTAGATGAGAAATGGAATAAATTACATTATAACGGAACAATATTTGAGTATTAGACCGTCTATATTCTACTTATAAATTAACAAATAAATCAAGCGACTAATCTAATAAAATTACATTGGATCTAGCCATGGAAATCAATCAACAACCATAATATTGATAAATTCCTGAAACTATAGTTGCATTGAAATTCTATTCGAATAAATAAAGCTAGTAAGGAATCCAACGCATCTCGAGTTTAGCTCTTAGGTTCTCGAAATTAACCAATAGTTTTCGACGTCGACAACATCTGATGTAATTTAGTCGTGATTGCGAAACGTCGAGAACATTTCTCAATTACGACACGACACGAAAGGCTTCATACAATTTATAAGACAAATCCAAAACTATGTAAAGTAATGATTGTATATTTTTTCTTGGTTATATATTAGGAAAGATTTTCACGATTGAAAAATGCATGTGTAATGAATCCGCATCGATAAAAAGACTTGACAAATGTGTACATATAAGCTGGTTTTATACACTAAAAAACGTATTCAATATTTTTCTTTGTGTCATAGGCACTTTCGTGTAAATGTAATTACTACAACTTCAACTTTTGGGTCTCTAACAATAAAATACAAAACTTGCAATTGTGATGGTACGTTCAAACAAAAAATCTACACTACTTTATTGGTCATAATAAATTGTTCAACTAATTTAATACGAATATCACTTACTACTTGTCATTCAGTGTTATCTAACCTACTAAGTACGTAACAATAAATAATTAAATACGCAATCTTAAAATACAATTTATTCGGCAGCTAAAGCAAACAGATCGGAAATTTTTTAACATATCTTATCAATTACGATAACAGGGCACACCTTTATTTTTCTTGAACTCATTAAAATGGTTTTTTTATATGATTAAATAAGGCACACAAAAAACTTAAGAAATTTAACAAAAGTATCAAATTGTTAAGACAAATATGTTTATCACTGACGTAATTGTTCTTATCTTCGAATTGATAAGAGTGGTCAACTTACGTATCGTACCCACTTACGTATTTATACTAATACTAGCTGTGCCAGCGACTTCGTCCGCTAAGAATACTTATTTTGGTCATCCAAATTCGTTCTTTATAAAGTTAAGCGGGACGAGAAGGGACCTACGACGTCGGTGGCGTCCCTTCCCGTCGTTTTTACAAGTTAATTTTAGAAGATAGAGATATAGCGGACTTTTTTTTAGATCATCTAAAAAGGAATCATTCTTTCTTACATTTTTTTGGGTATCTTGAACCGTTTTCGCAGCGTACGCATCGGAAAAACACAGAGATGAAATTTTTTCCCCGTTTTGTTCACATTTCCCGCTGTATCTTTGCTCCTATTAGTCACAGCGCGCGTTGTATATATTAGTATAGATATAAAGCTGACGAGTTTGTTTGAACGCGCTAATCTCAGGAAGTACTGGTTCGAATTGAAAAATCTTTTTGTGTTGGGTAGAGCATTTATAGATGAATGCTATAGGCTATAACACATCGCGATGTGAATAATAGGAGCGAAGAAACAGCGGGTAATGTGGCAAAAACGGGGAAATTTACTCACCGTTATGGGATTTCGTCGCGTACGCTGCAAAAATGGTTCACGATATCCAAAAAAAATATGTTAGAAATAATTGTTCCTCTTTAAATGATCTCAAAAAATGTCCGCGACGGTATGTCTTTTTTATATCATCTAGCAAAAACGACGGGACACGGGGACCTCGTGGGTAACAGCTAAAATGTATAAAGATGGAGAGGAGGTTTGCAAAACAAAATTTTGATGCCCAAAATTACTATTCTATGCGTACGCGTCCACAGCTAGTATTATATAATACGTGTAAGAAAATATAATATATATTCGCTAAAAAAAATAAATAATGATATACATAAATCACTACGATTTTTAAGGAGAAGTCTTACGTTTTAGTGCAATATCAATATGAGAAGTTAGCTTAGAACAATATAGTCTTCTCGTTCTTTAAATAAAACACTTAACAGTTTAAAACGCCATATAACGGGGAGGTTTCCCGTGGCCACGGGGACAAAGCATCCGAAACGTTGGGCCGTACTTAAAATAATTTAATACATCGCGTTTTAAACATTTTAAACGTTTTCTACTCGCGTAAACTACCGACAGTATGTTTTTCTCTTTTAAAAGCATTATCACAACAGCAATTTCCTTATATATTTGAGATCTTTTAAATTCATGGTTGTAATGTAAGGATTTTACTGATATTAGATCAAAGTACGCCCAGCCGTACTGATTGCTGTAAATAGATCAAGGACTCTTTGATTTGAACACGGAAGTGTTTGTCTCAAACAGCATCCTCTTTCCTGGTAGTTTATCTTATCTTCTGCAATTGTGATCATTAAATCGTCTTAATAGAGGGATTACATTAAATCATTTGCAATCGGGAATATAGATAAAACATGACGCATTTTAACTCTTACCAATATTTGATGAGGAATAAATAGGAACCATACTGCATTTTTACAAAATACTTATTTCCGTCTTGTATAAATATGCTGTATATATTGTTGAGTCCACTAACACGTAGACAGAGTCGATAACCTTGATCCTACATGGTGTTTTATTTAAAACACCTTTTTTATTATCTGTATTATATCACCTGTTATGTTCATATGCACTAATAAATAAAACTAATATCCGTTTTCAAACAACTTTTGATTGCCAAAACTTTTATACTAAGAATTTGCACTCTTTCAGGGAAAAAATATGTGATTATCTCACTTGCCCTAATTAACCGCTTCTAAGTAGGAACTAGTAATTTTGTCTCTTTCACGCACAACGAATTTGAGTGAAAGGGACAGAGCTACTTTTCATATGTTTATTACCATAATATCATTAAGTACTATGTAACGTTAAGTCCGTTGCCTATGCAACTGTCGGTCACGGTCTTGTCAGTTTTGTGCCCGTTGACGGGTTGGGTCATTCTGCCGGCGCGTTCCATTGCTGGGTCGGTGAGCAACCACGCGGGCTTGTACGCGATGTGTCCGCTGATGCTGTATGCCAGAGACGGGTTAGGGCAGGTATTTTGGACGCTACCTATTGATGTGTAGCTGAAAAAATATTGTTTTGCCTTGACCTGACCTCACAAAGATTAACTTATATTATTAGAGGCATACGAAGACTAGTATTGTAGGACGACTAGGACGGGGGCTTCAGCTGAGTAAGAAAACTCAAGGATACATTCAATAAAAAGGAAAAAAAAGATAACATGAAGCTTCCAGTTGTGTCATTTTTTTTGTTGCTTCCCGTGTCGCGCCTTGCAACCCGTACCAGGTTATTTAGTTGCTATAATTTGACGTCTTGTATCATACACAAGGTCCTAAATATTTATCAGATTTTTTTGATATAAAATAAACCACGCTGATAATTGTGAGTCCAAAAATCAAAAGGTTTATCAATGCAATATGTATACCAATCAACAATAAATACAAGAAGTGGAGTTTGTGATTTCGTGCTATACAGAATTTTTGTATTCATGTAGCGTGAACTGATCAAAATTACTTAATGACATATGAGCCGAGATGAGTGTATCATTGAAGTTGATTATATACGGGAATGACGTCATATAACACATGGACATGCCTGTGTTTAAAATCATAAAATTCTATGAAATAATAAATAAATTCCTCAAAACTTACGACATATTTTTGTTATTTCTACTCAATTTTGGTTGCCTTCATTTCTTTGTAACACCTAGTTTACACAGAGACTATACTACTCAAAGGGTTAATTAATTGGAAACAGATAAAACTGGCTCCGCTAGGAACCACCAAGTAAATTCAGGTAGGTTTAGTTTTTATTAAAATTCTAGAGTAGATCAGTTGAATTATGCACGTGTTCGTCTCACAAGAACAGGCATGGACGAAATAATAAAAGAAGAAGTAGAGTATCTCACCCAATATCATATAGACTGCAATAAGGCACATGTCGTTGAAGGATGTAGGTCCAGATTTGATGATAGCTCCAATTCAGAAGTGGGAACACACGAACTACTTGAGGCCACGAGGTATCTGTTTTCTAAATAATAAAAAGCTTTTTCATACCTTGATTATTACGGTGATATACGTTAAAGAGACTTATTAATAAACGTTTAAGTAATAGTAGTTTAAGTGAGGAGTTTAAGTTTAATAACTTGAATTACTTTTGGATAACAAAGAAGCCGTTGTTGATACACCCGTAACTGACATTATAATGTGTTGTTACCGTTAATGGTCGCTTCTTGTTAAATGCTTAAACGTATAGCCTTGCATTGTGTTGAGTGCGAGAGGTCCTGGTTTCGAATCCTCGGAAACCATAAGATTGTGTCGCTGGGGCAGGACACAGAAATGTAACGGACTCAGAAATAGCAGGTAGTCCTTCCATCATACCAGATAAAATTTTCTCTTGTATGACATTATCACAATTTTAAACTCATCTTTATTACTTCTATAACTCACCTGCATAAACTTCAAGCTCTGGCTAAAAGGATCAGTCCGTCTCGTTCCCATTAAGCAGGCTTTCAATCTCCTGTCCCCTTCTAATATATTTTCTAGAGCACTCTTCATTTCCCCTTCAATCACTAGTAATTTCACTTTATAATGGGCCTCAATCTCTTCTATAAAAGATTCGATTTCTCTAAAAGGGCCCTTGGTGCGCATGTATATGACTTTCAGATCTTTTGCGATATCATCTTTCTGGTGTATGTCTCTTAATATGTTTATAGTTAAGTCTAAGAGGACAGTGCAGTCTTTCCCACCGTTGAACGATAAAAATACCTCGTCTAGCCTGAATTGCGAGAAGCATTGTCTTAGTATCTGAAAGAAGACCATAATATTGGTACTAAGGATCGTGACCCACTAATGTAAAAATTGGTAAACGGCACAAATTGAAATTTTTCTAATATGGAATACCTGTCCTAATATTTTAAAGCTGAAGAGTCTGTTTCTTTGAACTCGCTAATCTCAGGAACTACTGCTGTAGAATAAAAAATTTGTTGTGTTGGTTAGAGCATTTATCAAGGAAGGATTTATGCTATAAAATTTCATCCTATAGCCAATATTAGCGAAGAAACAATTGGATGTGTAAAAAAATAACGGAAATTGTGGATTTCAGTTGCGTGCGCCAGGAGAGCGGATTAAGATACCCAAAAAAATAACTATGAAATAAAGATTTTTTTTAAATGTGAAAAAAAATTCTAATGCGACCGATGTCGTGGACAACAGCTCAAATTTATACAAATGAGGAGGTTTGCAAAAACAAAATTTGATGCTCAAAATAACTATTCTACGCGGACGAGGTCGCGGTCACAGCTAATTACGCATAAATTTCTTGCAACACGGTTGCAACTCTTCTATCTTTACTATTGGTTTCAGGTCCCCAGTACAATCGTAAATAATTACGATATGATATTTATTTTCCATAAAATCATTTACACAGTCGCAAAGTCTCAGATTTTGCAACTCTGTCTTCAATTTCTAGTTTTGAAAGAATCTCTTATATCAGATCGTACCTGTGCAGATTCCGCCGTAACTGTTGTGATGTCTTCAAAATTCATAACCGGTTCAGCAGGTTGGGGCATTTCTTACTGAAATTAAAAGGATTAAATTATTTTACAAAATATTTTTTTATACATAACAATTAAATTGAAATGCATTTATGCAAATAACTACTACCTAACAAGTTTATTTGCATTAAATTAAATATACACTAAAGTAGTCTCCTTAAAAGTGACATAAAATGTTTATTTTATCTTTATATTCGAATCTGTTCAAGCAACCTCACAATGTTATTTTGTCAGTAACCTCTTTTCGAAAATCTAAAATTCAACACACTCAATCACATTATGCATGTAGTTAACTGTTATCTAATTATGTAAGTTCTGTAGTTTACGCGAGTAGTACATATTAAATAAAACGTTTTTAACAGTTTTAAATGCGAATCTTTAATTTATTTAATGGAGGGGCTCATGCAGTGACGGCTGCAGCTAAACTTTCGAAATGTTGGGTCGTAGTTAAAAATAACTTCACTAATATATTTCGCGTTTAAAACCCCTTTAGTGTTTTATTTAATACATTTAATGAGCCAACGACGATACCTATTTTATATAACAATACCTTATTCTATTGTAGTGTTCTCGTTGTATGATCAAATAAACACATATATGCAACTTTGAACGCGAATCGAGTTTTGATTCAACATGATTGCCGATTATCATACTATATGCTTCGTTGGAAGGTCAGGTATTGAGGTCAAAAATGATTTCGCTATTTTTAAGCCCTAACCAAAAATTTGTGGTTTAAGGGCGCCTATAAATGTTGATATTATTTATTTATATCTATTTTAATAAAATAATAAATTCAAAAATATTATATATATAAAAAAAGCCCATTAGTGGTGAGTGGCTTGGTTGGTTGGATATTTTGGTTTAGTTTTAGTCGATAAATACGTTTTTATATTACAGTGTACTTACACACTTCTAAATTAAAGATTTTTCTTTTTTTTTAAGAAGTTTTTGTATATGAAATTATTGAAATACCCCTGTAACAAACCAATTTGCAAGCAATTTGTATAATATAAAATTTGAATTATTTATAGAGTATAAATTTTAAATGTATGACAGCAGATGATGTATTCGGCTGTTGTTATGTATGCAAATTTAAATATGGATGAAATAACTTTGTCTCGAGAGTCAGTAATTCACCATTAGTTAAATAAAAAGGGCTCAACTTTTATTATATCTCTAAAATAAAAGTTTTAACTATTAAATCAAAAATATGACAAAATCAATCAGATAACTACGTTATTTTAAATAAAACAAATATTTTGCCACTGATAAGTATCTGACAGATTTGTTATCAATTACAGAAAATCACCTGTTTTCTTATTCAATGTGCTGAAGAGTCTTCTGAACTCACATACTGAATATACCTTCTTGTGTTTAATGACATCTACAGCACACATTCATAGGTCGTAACTATCGTTTATATTTTAGTTTTAATAAGGAAAAACAATATAACGAAAAATATTTATTTTTCTGTATAAAAAATTACACACAAACTTTTTTTACAGGTGGCTCATCATTTTTAACATTGTTATTGAATAAAACATCCTCTGTTAATCTAAATGTCACTCTCATCATCTCTTTTTTGGGTGAAACATTTCTCACATTAAACACGTCAGTTATATTGTGCGATATATCTATCCCTATGTTTTCAATTAATTTTTCCTTAGACACTTTTACTGGGTCATCACCAACAGCAAAACAGTATACATAAACATATATCTCACAATTAAACTTATCGGATATCTCTGCATCTATCAAACCATTGAAATACTTCAGAAACTCTACAGCTAAAGCTGGTAAGTTCATTGTTATGTGAATCTTTGATCCACTTTTTAACTTCTTTTCATGCTTGCAAAGATCAATAATGTAATCTTTGAATATCTTCAAAATAAAATCTTTTCCATCTAGATTATAAAGGTGCAGATAAGTCATATTAACTTTATTATATTCAGCATTGTGTTCTAACCATTTGAAGGAGTCTGGGTTCAGATCATTTGCAAATACATGGCATTTTCTCTTTGCGGCTGGTATAGAAAATGGACCAACACCACAGAAAACATCAAATAAAACATCTTCAGGCTTCAAAAAATCCAAAATTCGTTCATGCTCCTTGCACAAGCGTGGGTTCCAGTACACTTTGGAGAAATCAAATTGAAAGTTACAGCAGTTCTCTTTGACCGTTACTAGAAATTCTTCTTCACCTGCAATTACTTCCATTTTAAAATTACGGTAAGTATTGTCAATGATGTTGCTCTTATTAACTACTGTTCTACATGTTTTGATTTTGTCCAGCAAAACTTGGCCAATTAGTTGGCGGTAATCTAATAAATGTTCCCTCAAGTTTAAGTGAATAATATGTCCTATTTGCGAAAAACTGCTCACAATTTCTTCATTCTCTGGAAGAACTGCTTTAAAAATTGTGTCAAATTTAAAGTTGTCATATTTCAGTTGAATATCTTCATAGGAGAATGTATTTTCATTAATGCCATTATTTTGAAGTGCTATTTGATCCTTTTCTGCCATGTCGGACCATTTAATGACTTTCTCAGGGTTAATAAACAGCTTTTTAGTTTTAGATCCTGTTGTGGTTTGAACAGGTTTAAAGTTCTCCAATTTTAGGAAGTACGGCCGCACTATTTGTGTAGTCTTCGCTAGTTTTTCTTCAGGTATATTTAAAACAGGAACACTAACAAAACGCGAGAATTTATCACGCTCCAAGACTTGCATACCTCGGACACCAACTGGCGTCAAAATAGAGGACAACGACATGGTTTTATAAAATTTTCTCAAAATTAATCGTATTTGGGTTACGGTCATAGCATATACGAAAATAACATACTAACCTAGTGGAAGGTCAGCTAGTGAACATATGTATGTCCATCCATAGAAAAGCACTAATTTATTCGAGATATATGCTGAGTTTGAAAGTTTTACTAGGATTTTACAAAATATTTTTAGAGGCGAAAGTTCATATTTTACGCGTATGACAGATGATAAACAGCGTATGTCAATCTCTTGCATCATTCGTTTTGACTAAGTTTTATGTCAATTGTCAAAATTGCTTGCGTCAAGTTAGCTTAGCTGTCAATTTGGTACGATTATATCGGTGTTAATGCTATTTTAACTATGAACAGGCTAAAACGAAGCCGTGCGACCGGCTACAGATATTGTAGAGAATATCGATTTGGTCAGCTCGGCGTGCTAGTACACTAAAAATGAAAATAGATATTTTATTAGATATTATATACGTAACATAATACACTAATTATTTGTTTCTTGACAAAGATTTATAAACCAGTTTCTAAATACACATACACTTACTATGGCCATTGTTACAAGTTAGTTTTGTTTTAACTTATTATATACTTATTACAATCTTTAAGTAATGCTAAAAATGAAAACATTAATTATAACATAATTATAACTAAAAAAGAAAGAAATACACTTATGATAGCTATAATATATACAAATGATATTAAAAGCAGTTTACCTGTCTATTAAAATGTGAATACTTTACAGAGCAAAAGTAATCAGATTTTATACACATTTACGGTTATTACTTATTTATGCCGTCTGTGCCAAATTCCCGCGACAATTTGGCGGGAATTTATGTAATTTATTCTGCATCGAAAAGTCAGTGTTTGTTTATGTGCGCGGATTATTTATTTTTTATTTTATTTTACCTCTTGCAGTTTGCTATGTGTTAACAAATTCATTATAAGTGCTGCGTGAATTGTTTGTTTATTGGTGGTTTGTAATACAAAAGGTTTTAATTAACAAATTTCATTATTGTTTGTCTAGTGTTTGATAATATGTACAATATATGACTTTCAAGTGGTCGTTGTCATGACACTACAACCTGTACTGAAGGAGCTTTTGGGTCTTAAATATAGAACCCATCTTTTCAATAAAGAAGAAGACCTGTGTCTGTCTGTGGAATAACATATATAGTGAGTTCTCAAGTTAATATATCAGCATTTAATCTCATTACCATACAAATTACAAGTCGAAAAAGGTTTCTTTTCATGACACTTGCTTAAGACAGCAACGAACCCAATTTCCCTGTAAAAAGTTTATTGCATCCGTAAACCGAAGGAAGTAAAAGCACGAAAGATCGAACGTAAAAAAGTTTATAAAACCATTATTGTGGCTCCTAAATGCATACTTTCAGTAATCCAGGTGAAATGAGTTTCAAGATTTTTCTTGTTTGTTGGTTAGCGTGATGTAAATAACCGATAAGTCCAGACACAGACTATAAAGTCATCACGCCACATAGTTCCCTTTGATTTCTAAAAGTATGCGTTTTTTTAAGTTTTAAAATTTTGCATATACTGTGCTGATTAACCGTTGCTATCTTGCAACTCTAGTATACCCACATTTTAATTACAGACATTCACAGCATTTCGTGTTGCTTTAAAAAATTTGTAGCTCACTACCGAGTCTTACATTTTTTTTTCAATATATTATTTATATAGTGCCCATCATGTGAAAAATACTAATTTTATATTTATCAGACTATTGCAAGAACATGGTTTTTTTATTATAAATGTATACTTTTTGTTTTTGTTTTTGTAAAAACAACTTCACAAAAAAAGACTTCGCTTTACAGTGAGAATTGTTTCCATAGAGGGGGCGGCGCTAGGGGCAACTGAGAATCAGTGTTATTTGCTGAGAGGCTCCTGTTTAAGGAGTTGTCAATTTGTTGTGTAATTATAGTGTTTTGAATATATATTTTTTTTGGTACAATGAAGAGATCATAGAGTTACTATGCCCAAATTAAAAATGACAAAGTGAAAATCAGGCCAAGATGTCCATGTAGCACATACACCCCTAAATTTAAACATTGTCGAACTTCGTTATCGTTCTTTAAATCTATAATCACGCAAGTCGACGTAATCGTCGCATAGAAAAGCGCTTTTTCCATTACTTTTCACACGCCGCGAAGCGTGTAGTAAAAACGTTGATTCATTTCAATAAACGGCGCCAAACAGTAGAAAAAGCGGCGAGCAATATTGGCCCGTGTCAACATTTGCGGAACCCGCTGCACTGCTATGAGTTTCCTCTAAATAAACAATATGTGGCTGCTTCTTTACGGAGTAATGAATTACGTGATGTTTTTACAGCAGGAAACGATCGTAGTGTCCACTCGGCTGGGATGGTTGAGGTTTTGACAGGTTCATTGGTTTTGTTGGTAGATTACGACGCACAAAACTTCGTACAAACAAATAATTGCCTAGTGATGCTAGAAAACATTATTGGCAGGTTCTTCTTGCGTTAAAATAGGGTAACCTTGTAAGGTTCCTAACATCGCGAGTATCAGTGGTGCGTAATTATTTTTTTATGAATTTATACGTTAAGAAACTGTAAGGACTAAAGACGTTAGTTCCACAACGCTGAAAACCTACCCTGCGTCAAACAACTACGTCAAAAATTAATACTGACAGTTCTGAACTATAATTTTATATTGCGAAATTTAAATAAAACACTTTAACGGTTTAAAACGCGATATATATTAGTTAAACTTAGGTATTTAAAGATCGTTTTAACTACCGCTCGGCGTCTCCCTGTGACCACGACTGCTGCACAGCATCCGAAACGTCGGGCCGTAGTTAAAATAATTTTCAAATAAGTTTAACTAATATATATCGCGTTTTAAACCGCCATAAAGTTTTATTTTAAAGTGTACTACTCGCGTAAACTACAGACAGTATTTGATATAGTGAAAATTAAAAAAAAACTTCTTAAAAAATAACAGGACAGACAACTAAAGACTCGCTTGAACATCCGTTTTTACACATTGGGAACGAAAGATGGATATAGTATAAGTTGATAGTAAAACCAATGACCGAGCAAATTAACAAGCGTTACGATTATTTCCGATTCATTTAATCGTAAAGGGTTCATTAGGTCTTCAGAACCCCGGCGATGATGTGGTCTGCAATGCGAGTAATATCTTGATTATGTGGTTTCTCCCTTACGTCTTCGTTAGGAAGGATGACCTGGTGGTGAATCGGATTTTATACGCATAGATTACATCGGTTTGACTACTTGATCAAAATCTACTTGTTTTTTCTTTTGTTTCATATTTAAAAGAGGATAAGGGAGATACGATATTTTTTTAAAAGTCCAGATTCTATAGCAATTGTGGTGGCGGGTTTTAAATTGTTAAGTGTTCAATAAAAGTGATTCCTCATATAAATGTTTAGTTTAAAATAGGTCGTCGTATGTGGTTTTACGGGTGGTGGGTGTAAATCCCACCGGGTCCAATTTTTGGCATAACTTCGAGTTTCGGAGTTAGTAAACCTGCAAAATATGTTAGTTAATAACGGTTTCACGGGCAGGACTTGAACCGGCATTGTCAGCGTTCCGTGCTGTTGCTCTACCAATTGAGCTACCGGGTCAATTTTTTTCGATTTTTTAAATTATATAGTGCCTTTATGTGCAATAACATGTGAATAATATTAATGTTTTCAAACGTAATAATTAATACTGACAGTTCTGAACTATAATAATTTGATATAGTGAAATTTAAATAAAACACTTTAACGGTTTAAAACGCGATATATATTAGTTAAACTTAGGTATTTAAAAACCGCTCGGCGTCTACCCGTGACCACGGCCTCTGCAAAGCATCCGAAACGTCGGGCCGAAGTTAAAAACCATTTCCAAATAAGTTTTAATACATCGCGTTTTAAACCGTTAAAGTGTTTTATTTAAATGTTTTCAAACGGTTTCACGGTCGTCACGGTTATACGTACTACAATGTTTTTTTTTATTTCAAACACCGAACTTAAAATTTTTCCGATCATTGAATCTCGTTGGTACCGGGCTAACCAGTAAAGCAACGGCAGGTCGAAAATATTAACAAGCTAAAGGTCTGAACCTTCATTAGACAAGTAAACGTTGCGATAGCTTACAGCTTGTTCGGACTGAACATTTCAATTTGAGAGGCCATAAACATAGTTTACGAGGTCCCTGACAACGGACGGTACATCATGCGAACGGGAAACTGCTAACAACGTGTAATACATTCACAGTTCCTAATATACGCATGTAAATTGTTAATCTGTTTACGCCGGTCGAACCCCTTTTATGGCCTGAGATATTTGAAGGTTCCGTTTGGACGTCTTGGATGGCGGAGTGTGTATAATGCTCACTTACAATTTATACAGAAAGACTATACTGTCTGTAGTTTATGGGAGTAGTACACACTTAAATAAAACACTTTAACGGTTTAAAACGCGATAAGTATCTCCTCGTGACCGCGGCTGCTGGAAAGGCTGTAGTTAAAATTTTTTTACCTATAAATCGCGTTTTAAACAGATAAAATGTTTTATTTAAAGGAGATAACAGTGGCGTTTAAAGTGGCCAAGATACACAAAAGTGATAACATATAAAGTGGTTTTTGTTCCACCAATAGAGAAAGGATTGATCAACAAGGTCAAGCGTGACTTCGAATCCCGGTGTGACAATGAATTTTAACCGCTTCAAATGAAAAATATATTAGTTATAATTAAATATCAATTAATATTTTAGTTACTTTAGATTTTTACTTAGTACATTTCCAGAAAAACATACTTCTTAGTTAATTTGTTATGTGAGGTAACACATTTTGTATGTTTTTGTATAATTATAAATTTAGAATGTTTTTTCAAAGTTAAATATAGGTAAATCACTGCCTTCTTAAAAAAATTTAATATCAATATAAATCGTCTTGCGAGTTTTTTTAAATATAGGACAGACAAGCATGCCAAGCTAAGCCATATAAC